GAATATGCCAAACATTTCAGACATCCAGGGCTCGGTGTGAAGCGTTCGCAGCCGCAGTGGGAGAGATAGGAGAGTGTTAAGGATTGATTTGGTGCTTGGTCCGCTGTGACAGGACGGTCCCGTGGCTGAGGTGGGGAAGAATGACAAGTATGTGGGACCGTGTCCAGAGCGCTGGGTTTAGAGCCACAGAAGCAGCGGCGAGTAGGAGAGAGAAACTGACCAGCAAGGCCACGCAGAAAAGAATTCAGTGAAGAAAGATATTCAGTTGGATGGGTTGCTATGAAAGAGATTTACAGTTGTATGCAAACTTAACGCTTTTTAACAACACTGTATTTCTCCCTCTCTCTCTCATTTAGTCTATCCCTCCCTCTCCCCTCTCTCTAACTATCTCTCTTCTCTCTCTATCCCATTCTCTTCTCTCCTCAATCTACCTCTCCCTCTCTCTGCCTCTATCTCTATCTATCTATTAATCTATTTCTCTCTCTTGCCATTGTACCACTATCACATCATGTCCATAAATTAGTTTAGACATTTTATCCAGTGAAATTACATTCTTTGCAATCATATGTATGTATGTGCTTGCAGCCGGTAAGTTTCACATTTGGAAGAAAACTAAGCAAATTCTGCACCTCCCTCTGGTGGTAGAAAAGGGATAGGGCAGGTCAATGATAATATTTACTCTTGATATTTGTTTCATCATACCTTTTCTACAGAAATTCTAAAATGTGAAGCCATTTTATCTATCATTAACATATTTAATCTTCAAAAATAGTGCATCAGATTTCACAAAGTTGAAAAGCAAAGAAGTATAAACCTTGTATACAAAATGGTCTCCCCTTTGACTGAATAAGATGTAGTTTTAAGCTTATCTTCCATATTCTCCACCTTCACTTTTGTCGTTTTGTTTCTCCAAACCCACCTCCATCGCTGAGCACTTCCCCCCCAGTCCAGGAGCCAGCGCCCGAGTCCAGGATGGGTCTGGGTCCTGGATAAGGTCTCTGGGCGGGGCGGGTCAGGGCTGGAGCTCATTGTTTTGGGGACGGCAGACTTCCTGTTTGACGCCTGTCACCACAACACAGCTGCTTCCACTGAACGCTGCACAATAACAGCCACAAATCTCATTCACAACCTCCGCACTCTCCCCATCCAATCATCCAATATGTGTTTTTGATACAGTCACGATTTATCACTTTTTGAATGAGAAACGTACTCAGTTTTGAAATATTTGAATATTTTTAGAATGCGGTTCCAGCTTCGTAAACTATGTCAAAATATTTTCCATGGCACATAAACAAAACCACAGATGTTAATAAGACCTAAGTTTAGAGGTTTTTAGTCGTATCAAAATTGCTTGTTACTAAATTTTTTGTTTAGTTTGAGATTAAGATGAAAAGATCCTTTATACGTCTCACAGTGGGGAAATTCCAGTGTTGCATCGCAAGTTACACAATGAATGAGGAGCACACAGCAAAGGATAAGCCAACAGTAGCTCTATGTTAACACAAAATGAAATATCTAACTGGGCGGCACGGTGGCTGAGTGGATAGCACTCTTGCCTCTCAGCAAGAAGGTCCTGGGTTCGAATCCCGGTTGGACCAGAGCCTTTCTGAGTGGAGTTTGCATGTTCTCCGTGTGTCTGCGTATGTTTCCTCCGGGTGCTCCGGTTTCCCCTACCACTAAAAATATGTACAATAGGTCTGGCATGTGCCTCCTGTACTGGCGACCCCCACTCCCAAAAAACCACAATTGTAAACCGCTTTGAGACTCTGATGTGCAGTGAAAAGGCGGTATATAAATAAAGATTACTACTAACTTCCTTCACACTCCATATCAAGCTGACAAATTGTTAATAGAATTTCCTTTGTAAATACATGTTGATATTGTAGCTATATAACACATGGTGAAACTAGGGCAAATATTGTTGCTTGATTGAATATGTTTACATATTTGCATGTATAAGTATGTACGGTAAACACAGAAGGAAATATGTATAAAAAGTCATGTAAACTAAGGAATATTGTAAATACTTATGACTTATAAATGTATGCTCAAATTAATAAAATCAATCAACTTAAGCATAATAAAAGTTTTATAAAAGTCTACACTATTTACAACAAAAACAGCCAAGAAGTTAAAAACATGGATTATACTAGAACAAAGAAAATTCACTGTTGCTGAAAAGGAATAAGTCTAGTCTTAATAATAAACGTTGACCTCCTTTGGTTTTACCCACTTTCCCACAAAACACTTACATATTGTTAGCAACATAAACAAACTCATTGATCTATTATTTTCATCACTTTCAAAGATCATGTCTTATTGTTTTCTCTTCGGCTTGAGCTTCTTATTTAAGCCGTTCCACAGTTCTAGCTCGTACAGAAACACAAACACTGTCCGTCTGCACCATTGGTAATGTGAAATATGTTCCTCCCAACACATGCCCTACTTCCCTCTGAGTAAATCACTTTTTTACATGTTTGAGGTAAATCATCACGCTACTACGCCCTTTAGCTATAACGACCGGGCTTAACATATATAGTCGCAAAGGTAGGCCCCAGCTGTGTTCCCGGTGAACTACTGAATCAATGAAATGTCACAATCCTAAACGGTGAATATCTGTGATTGTGTGAATGATAGAAATGTATCACAGTAGAATTTGATTTAAGAACTAGCTTGCGTTTTTGTTTTTAATATCGCTTTGTAAACTGTACACTACACACCCACCCTGACTTATTTTTCCATCTCGAGATCTCAATTTTTTTGCAAACACAGCAGTTTTATTCAGAGGTCTACACATGCACACATATACACGCACGCACACACGCACACATATACATATACACATACTCATACACACATACTCATACACATATACACACATACACTCTGGTGAATGAAAAGAGCTGATGGTGTGAATACGTGTTATCGCTGCATGTTTTTAGCGCTGGGTTCGAGGTGGGATTTGTGCTCTAGGTTTTACTGCTTAAGGAAGTGTCGGTGTGTGTGTGTGTCTTTGTTCAGAGAACTGTGTTTCTCTGTGGATTTTTTTCTTTCTAACCTTCCACAAAGAAAGCCACATTCATAGTTACGGCCAGCAATTTCTTCAAATATTTTTCATTAATATTTTTCATAAAGTCATAGTAGTCATCTTGAAACACCCACCCATTGCTACCACTGTTTATTGAAACAGAGCATTTTGAAATATCGACTTTGAGTTTGTAGCCACAATACAACTTGCATCTCTCATCAAAAACACACCTGCTGCTGTGTTTAGCTCCATCCATGCTATGATCAGAAACCACACAATATAAACTCAATACTCAATACTTTTCCCAGTTTCTGTCTGTCTTTTCTTCCCTCATTCTAATATTGTGTGATTTCTGAACTCAAACCCTCAACCTCCGCCACATCTAGTCATTATAGAGAAAAAAAGCCAGAGACAGGTTGACGTGTGGTTGTGTGGTATTTGGATGGAGGCTTCAGTCTGAATGTCAGGTCTGTAATCTTTAATGTCATTTGTCCCTTTCACCGTCTCCACAAACCCTCCAGGGCGTTTCCGGAGGTCAGAGAGAAGCACTGGTTTGAGGATCTGATGGAAGAGCAGAGAAACTGGGAGCGATAGTGACCACTTGATTTGTTTTTGATTTATTGCTGATTTAATTGAGTTTGAGGTGGATTTTTTGTGCTTGATTGATTGATAGAGGACATTCCAAAGGTATTCAAGACATTCTGATTGTCATAAAGCCAAGCATTATTGTGTTTGGTGTATTTGGCATAACCATAGAAGATTTTGGTCTCTTTCTGGACTAATTTAACTACTTTGTCTAGAATCTTTTTACATTTATCCACATTTCACGTTTATTATTTTGACTTTAATCAAAAAAAAAGAAAATGTGTTAGCGACCTAAGGGTTAGCACTCTCGCTTCTCAGCAAGAAAGTCCTGAGTTCGATTCCCCATCACATTTTCTAAGTAGAGTTTCCATGTTTTGTATAGGTCTGTGTAGGTGTCCTCCAGGTGCTCCGGTTTCCCTTACCACACCACGCATTTACACAACAGAGGCCCTGGGATAGATCAAATACAGAGGACACATTTCTCTATGGGGACAATATAGTACAACTTAACTTCATCACATTTCTGTTGATTATGTTTTTACAAATGAATGGCCAGAAATAAAAACGTGTTAACCTCCAAACTCATAAACCTTTAAATGTAAAAGGGTCGGCTTCAGCTTGGAGAAAGTTTCTATCATCACTGGTTCAACAAACGATAGATAAAATGAAAGTTTTGATCACACACAGACTATAGCGATGTCTTCCTTACGGGCATAACTGTTGCAAGACATCACATATTAACATAGCGCCAGAATGATTGGGGAGCAAATTAACATTTCATATAGACGTGTCCAAAGTCTTCCTTATTCCTCCCTTCTTTGTATTATACTCAGAAATGTGTGAGTAATTGTTAGAAATGGTGGTTGTAGATCCTTTGTTTCCGTGCATTGTTGGTCTGCTGCCAGTGAAGGAGTGTGTGGTGTTCAGTGATAGGATCCAAGATGGCTCATTTGTGTGTGGGTCTGTGTGTGTGTGTGTGTGTGTGTGTGTGTGTGTGCTTATGCGTGTGTCTGTATGGTTTACTACGACTAGGACTGTTTGAATTTGTGATTAGCTTTTGTCGACTCAGCGTTTTCCAGTCAGACCCCAAACTGTCTAATCCTGTAATCCTCCGTCTGCCCCCTCCTCACTCTCTGTCTGTGGAGGCTCCAGCTCCCACCTCTCTACTCTACACTGTACTCCCCTCATGCAATCATTACACAAAACTGTAAATATAAACTCATTAGCCTTACATATTTCTCGTATCTGGCACCACCGGAATCGTCACAAACAGGCGAATTGTACGCTTTACTTATGTTACGTTTTATTAGCTTATGACAATGACTATTAGCTGTTTGAATGCTAAAATAGGAAGCTCCCATTTTTCATGTTTCTCTGTCGTTCGCAGGCCGTGGAGCGGGAGCAGGTGGACTGTATACAGCCGAAGCTACAGCACGTGAACGCGGTGGGACAGGGTCTGATCCAGAGCGCGGCCAAACACACAGACACCCAGGCCCTGGAGCACGACCTGGAGACCACCAACCTGCGATGGAACTCACTCAACAAGAGGGTACGTGTCCAACTACTGCAGTATAGAAAGATTTCATGATCTTTTATAGATAGGTAGATACTTTATTGATCCTCCGTGGGAGAAATTCAGGTGTCCAGTAGCAGCAAAACACATCCATCCACACAAATAAAACAAATAAATTGATCATTCTAAAAAGCGATTGTAATAATAAAATGCAACAGCACTTCAGGTCACAGCAGCAAAGGGGGAGTAGCCGCTTGGTTCGGACCATTTTCTCTGCTCTGGTCCAAAGTAAAATGCTGAATGCTTTGTTTGTATTTTTCAAAAAGTTAGCATACCTCCAGTGGATTTTCATACGCTTGTTTTAGACCATGAATCCTCTTTGCTCCGGGTTTGGACCAGTGCAAAGCCATAAATACTGTACTTCAGCAACATCTCAGGTAGAAAACAGCAAAAAAAATAACTACTTTTTCAGAGACACATTAGACTTGCTGCCGTTTCCAGTGTATTCAAAAGTCCCACAGTGGTAACAAATACATCTGTAATACACTGGTGCAAGAATATTGAAGTAAAGTGGCTCTGGGCTAAAAGTGACTCAATAACGTGTGTAAAGTCAGTGGTAATGTGGTCTCATATTGGACATTCTGACATTACTGCACATAATCATACAGATGCATCAATCCAATTTAAGTGCCCATCCATAATAATAATAGAAAAGATGTTTGATAACCTGTAACCTGTATTAAAGAACTCCTTGCTCACCGCTGCCCCCTCTGTCCACAGGTGGCAGAACGCATCGCCCAGCTGCAGGAGGCGCTGTTGCATTGTGGGAAGTTTCAGGACGCCCTGGAGCCTCTGCTCAGCTGGCTCAGCGACACAGAGGAGCTGGTGGCCAATCAGAAGCCTCCGTCTGCCGAGTACCGAGTGGTCAAGGCGCAGATACAGGAGCAGAAGGTACTGGGTTCAAATGAAAGCCCATATTTCTGCTGGGTTGAACATGGGCCCCCAAAACTCTCAGACAGGGACCCAATCAAAAAAGCAGAAATAATTTTAAGCAATAACACAAGTTAATGCTTATGATTGAGAATGATTAGATTCCATTTAAGAAGTAAAGGATTCCCACTTATTAACTCCAGCAACATACCTCTGTGAATGCAATGGTGAGTTCAGCTGTTTAGCCGTTTTAAAATCAAAGGTAGGTATTGTCTTTGTAGTGCCCTTTCGGCCTCTGAATGACGTTTAGTGCGGTCGAGATGCCACAGACACGTCTATCCTGGGTCTACATTGTCTCATGGATTCTCTCTCTCCTGTTTATCTTGCACATATTTCCTGTGATTGTGAGCGGACTAGAGCAGCTCTGGTGAAGACAGATCAATCAAAAGTGTTTACATCCTCCAACAAGAACCGTGTCACCGCCGTGATAAGAAAATAGTAAATCAAGGAACTTGGAATTCCTGAGTAAGGAGCATTTCAAAGGGATCTGGACACGGTTTAAGCAGGAAGGAAAGTGAAGGACAGAATGGACTGTTAAAACAAGCTGGCATGTGAAGAAGAGAGGTCTAGCTTTAAATATTTCAATATTACAGGGAAAAGAGCTTTCCCTAAAAATTTGCTTAAACATTGGATTTTCCTTCCTTGATTCATTCACACTTGTGTATTCAATTGGGTATTTGACCGTGTGTGTGAGTGCTGAAAAAATCCTGTTTTCTTTCCCCGTTCACATCCCTTCTTAGTTACATTTATCTAAAAGATTGATGGTGCCGTCTATGCACAGGAACTGGGAAATGTTCCTGCTCTGACTTGGAAACATTGCTTTATTCCACTCGCAAACTTGGAAATGATGGAGGCACTCCCACTCACATATGAGATAAACTGTGACATTTTACAGTCATGATCATTCATCAAACACCAGAGCAGTTGCTTAGAATGCAGCACAAGGCGACATTCATCGACCAAACCTTTGTCCTATCCAATGTCCAATCCCATGTCCAAGCCTATGTCCAAGCCTATGTCCAAGCCTATGTCCAAGCCTATGTCCAAGCCTATGTCCAAGCCTATGTCCAAGCCCATGTCCAAGCCCATGTCCAAGCCCATGTCCAAGCCCATGTCCAAGCCCATGTCCAAGCCCATGTCCAAGCCCATGTCCAAGCCCATGTCCAAGCCCATGTCCAAGCCCATGTCCAAGCCCATGTCCAAGCCCATGTCCAAGCCCATGTCCAAGCCCATGTCCAAGCCCATGTCCAAGCCCATGTCCAAGCCCATGTCCAATCCAATTCCAAACCTGTTGTGAATGAATAAACAACACAAGTCTTGACACATCACATGAAATATTTGAGTTTGAGAGACGCACACAGAGAGACGCACACAGAGAGACGCACACAGAGAGACGCACACAGAGAGACGCACACAGAGAGACGCACACAGAGACGCACACAGAGACGCACACAGAGAGACGCACACAGAGACGCACACAGAGACGCACACAGAGACGCACACAGAGACGCACACAGAGACGCACACAGAGACGCACACAGAGACGCACACAGAGACGCACGGAGAGACACACGGAGAGACACACGGAGAGACACACGGAGAGACACACGGAGAGACACACGGAGAGACACACGGAGAGACACACGGAGAGACACACGGAGACACGGAGACACGCACACGGAGACACGCACACAGAGACGCACATGTCTATGTGTGTTTGTACTAGAATAGAAATAAGAACATTCACCATCAGCTGTGGACAAACTTTATTTTCATTGTTATATCATTATATATCATTATTGTGTGTTTTTATGATTTATGAGTCATAGAGATTTATTGGATGCACTGTTTGCTTGTTTTCTTTCATAAAAGTAACTTGCAAACAGCCAAAACATTTGCTTCATCATCCTGAGGTTTCTAACTTCATTTCTTCACAATACAATGCTTTTTTTGAGTGGAGATTTCTCAAACAGATCTCCCAAAAAACATTGACTGAATCTAAATCCTTGCGTCTGCCTGTCCAGTTGTTGCAGAGACTCCTGGACGACCGCAGACCCACGGTGGAAATGATCCGAGCCGAGGGAGAGCGAATCGCAGCCACAGCCGACGCTACGGACCGCGACAAGATCCAGACTCAGCTCCAGAGTCTGGCCCAGAGGTGGAGCAGCCTCCTGGACAAGGCCAGCGGACGGTAGGAGACACATCCACACTGTCATAGACTGATCTGTCTGATGGTATTTCAAACCTAAGTCAATATAACAGACACAGATAAACATGTACCTAGGTCAAAAAGGACGTGGAGTGTATTAAGTGGTGCCCTGAAGCCTTTCTCTTTATCACCACTGAAACAATAGTAACACTGGGGTTTTATCAGCACCAGTCAATATGTAATTATCACTTTTGTTGAGTTCCGTTTTGCTGCTTAATAATCTTTAGTGTTTAATTAGTGAACAACCCCCACATGTGTTAATTTGAAAACCAGCAGGCTCCAGATACCACGTACATTATTAACAATATATCGTGTTTTCTGAATTTCATGAAATGGGGTACTACTATACATGTGTATTAAGTGTATTTGGATATTATTAGATCTGCAGCGATGTACCAGAGTTTTGTACACATTTACAACATTTGGATGAACGTTAGGTCTCACGCTTTCAGGAAGACTTTTCCAGATTTTAGCTTAATAAGTATGAAACGCTGTCTCTACATGTTTAGTTCTGACTCTGGGCTCCAGCAGGAGATTGTTATAAAGATTAAGAGATCCTTTATTCGTCCCACAGCGGGGAAATTTCAGTGTTGCATCACAAGTTATAAAACAGTAGGAATGAGGAGCACACAGCACAAGATAAGGGAACAAGAACTATACTGATTACAATAAAACAATGTGCATGTCACAGATGTACTTTGGGGAGGGACCATGAAGAGTACAGAAGCAGAGCGGCCAGTGCAGAGACCTGAGAACGGGACTAATGTGATGGTACTTCCTGGTTCTAGTCAGGACTGGATCAGGACAATATCTGTTTTTGAATAACACATGTGAAATACTAAGCGGCACAAGTTGGTCCCTGTCAGAGCTGTTAACCCGTGTGTTTGTCCCGCAGGCAGAGGCAGTTGGAGGAGCTGCAAGTTCTGGCTCTGGAGTTTCACGAGTCGCTGGAGCCGTTGGGAGAATGGCTGAGTGCCACAGAGAGACGCCTGAGCTCCGCAGAGCCCATGGGAACCCAGACGGCAAAGATCACTCAGCAGATCACCAAACACAAGGTACTGGATACAGACAGCCGGGCTCCTGTGCTACTGCTGAGGTTCTCTGGGAGACTGGGACTCAAATCATGGTTGGTCCCAGTTTATTTATGTATTTGGATCCCATTAGCTTCCACAAGGGGTCGCTAGTCCTCCAAGCTACACATGGTCCACACTCACAAACATACAGTATAAAAAGACATTACAATACATAGCCCAAAACTGAAGGCAACTGTCACATCATTCTTCAACATTCATTCAAACATTGTTATAATTTATCTTTTATTTTTGTTGATTGTCAGTTTGTGTTCATCACATACACAATGCTCCACGCAAACAGTCAAGTTATATCAATAAAATCATTATTTATTTTTAAACCTATAAAGACCTATAAAGTCTTTCAATTTTGTGCTAAACAGCTAAACTGAGCTGTAAAATCGTTACATTTGGAGAAAAACTAACATGAATATTTTGTAATGGATTAAAAAAACACAATTTCTGGGATTTTTATTCTGGCAAAAGTTGTTTTGTCAATGGTACACAAGGAAAAAAAAAGCTTTAACGTCCTTAACTTGCTTCTCATTGGGATTTGACAATATGACTCCAATCTTTAAAAAATGTCTTAATGTGAAACTACGTTCAGTTTTATAATTCATCAAAGTTACTCTCTTTGGTTGGGTTCTATCCTACCTATCTTTAAAAAGAAAAAATACCAACAGAAAGAGTCTTAAGTAAAATGCTGCGAACATTTAAGACCACAAACACACTCTTATCAGATTAGAAAACATTATCACCTTTTATCATTATCATCAGGGGTTAGGGTGGTCCCCTGTTTTTAATTTTTCTGTCTGAAAAGTGGATCTAAAGATGTCACAGAAGAAGAAAACTACATGTGTGAAAACTAGTAATAGAACCAAAATGTTTAGATGTTATGGCATAGTTTCTTTATCGTGGTTTAAATGTTGTGTATCCCTGGGACTGGGATACCCAACATCGGGTAGTGGATCCCTAGAATCACTCACATGGTAATAAAAGGAGGTCAGAAGGTTGTGGGTTCAATTCCCACCTCTGCACCTTCTCCACCGACTCCCACTGATGACTGCTGTCGTTGTGTCCTTGGGCAAGACACTTAACCCCACTTTGCCCAGAAGCCCCCACTGAAAGATCAAGGCTATGCTCACACTCAGAGCAGCCGTCCTCCTGTGGACTCACCACCTGCAGAGGGTCAGTGAGGGGCTGGTGCTATGAGACTTGGGTGGCATCTCTGATTGTCACTCCCCTGACCCAGAAATGGATTAAAGGGTAGAAAATGGATGGATGGATGGATGGATGATTCTGAGAATACTAGCGACCACTTGTGGAAGCTAATGGGGATCCAAATAAATAAAGTATCCCATCAAAGTTTAAAGCTTGCTTCTTTATCAATCCAAAGAAAGTGGCCAAAAACAGCCCAACTCAGTGTTAGCAAATTGTGCAATTCTGTCCGTTCTGAGTCGTCTCCAAAGCTGCTGTTCCCGAGGTGTTTTCTCGCCGATTCACACATTGTTAAAATAATCCCATAAAATCAACCGCCGCTTTCACTTCTGACATTTACAGCGTTAAGAAGCAGCAGTAACTCATCCACAGAACAATGCCAATCCCTCGGGGCATCTCCTGCAGCGGCGCCATAATGCAATATTAGAGTTTACACAGAATAGACAAACAAATCAAATCACCCACATTGTGTTTAGTGACATGACGACAAAACCAGCTCCTGTCGATGCATTTGAATGTGTCACCAGTTCATATTTTATATCATTTTGCATGTGTGTTTTAATGTTATCCTCTTCTTCTCAATTTTCTCACCAACAAAAAGCACAGCCGAAAGTCCCGCTCCAGCACAGAATCATGAGTTGTCGTTTCTATACACAAATTTAAAGCTGTTTTATTGTAAAGTTAACCTAGAATACATAGTAAAGTATCTTCAAGTGTTGCTGTTTCTGATTCAGCTCAATATTTGGACAGTTGTCGAGGGCATGACAGAAGCAATAACTTAAGCTAAATCCACTTTATACAGTACTTATTACTTTACTTAGTACTTTTAACAGTACTTGGTCATGATGATTAATTCCATTCAATTTATTTTCATGCATCCAGAGAATAAAAACAGGAAACTCAATGAATAAAAAAAACACCTAAAAACCTTTGGTCCATAAGGCGCGGTTAGACCAATGTCCGTAAATGTTTATTAAGTCCATGAATAGAACCTAGAACTGGGGAACTTAGTACAGTCCCATTCCTAATCACCTGTCATCCGTTTTTAAGTTTATCATTTTGTGTCCTTTTTTGTTTTGTTTTTGTCTCACTTTTCTTCATGTACCACCCTTTTGCACTACACACACACTCTTGCATACACACACACACACACACACACACACACACACACACACACTTCCCAGACTCACCAAGACAAGGTTTCCTCTCGTGGAGCCGACGTGGACCACCTCGAGTCCCTGCGCCTCTCTCTGACCCCCCTGAGCTGCACAGCCGACCGCCATTGGCTGGACGAGCGGGTGGGGGCGGTGCGTTCGGGTCACTCCGAGCTCTCTGATTGGTGCGCGAGGCGGGCGGCCATGTTGGAGCAGGCTCTGGCCAACGCGCAGCTGTTTGGGGAGGACGAGGTGGAGGTGATGAACTGGCTGGCTGAAGTGTCTCAGCGGCTGGGGCAGGTGTCAGTGCAGAGTTACCATCCGCAGGAGCTGAACCAGCAGCACAAGCACACGCTGGTACGACATGTGTGGTCAAACTAACGCACAACTCTAACTCTCTAACATCTTTAACAATCTCCTACTTGACCGTCTGCAATGAGAAGACTACACTTCTCATCAGCTCAATATACCATAGATTTTTCTGGTTAGTGGATTTGAATTGGTGGCTGCTACTATTTCACAGTTTAAAAGAAAGTTTAGTGACAACATTTTGAAGATTTCTTTGTTAAACCTCATAAAGGATGTTCAACTTCAAAAATATTATTTGTTTTACTATCAAAGTTCTTTAAACTTCTGTTCAAAAGATTTTACAATGGACTCCCTTCTCCAAATTGTAGAGCAAATAGTTTAAAAATATTGTAATTTTGACTAAGTTTTTAGGGTAGAGAGGTTTTGACTCCAGAATCCAGAAAGAATTTGCCAAATCTGAGGGAAATGGACAGTACATTTGTAGATGCAGCAAAGTTAAAATCCAGTTTTGATTCTGTTTCTACTGTGATCCATTATTAGCACCGACCAGCTAGACTAATCAGAAATACCAATTCTCAAACCTGCTACTTCAGATTGGAACTTGGCATCTGGTTGGAAGTCCAGAAAACTAATTATGATATGTTCCGTTTTGATTAATCGAGCAATCATTTTCTGACCCAGATGGAGCAGAGGTTTTCCCCGCCAATCAAACCCTAAAGGTGTACAGGAGGATTTTCACACATTTTAGGAAAGAACCGTCCTCTCCACTTTTGGAACAAAACTCTCTGGTCTTATTTGACGAGCACATACAGTATCACCAGAATGATTGACAGTTGGGAGGACCAATAGTGTTGATGATCCACATGGAAGTAGAAAATGCTCCTATATACCTTTAAGTAATTCCTTTGATGCATAAAAACACTATTTTAAATCAGTTGTTTGGTTTCCAATGAATGTAGCATGTTTGTTGCTTCTAACATCAAATTGTGCTCTACAAGTTTTGAAATAAACTTTATTGATTGTAAAGAGTGTGTTGTGAAGACACTTTTGGTTTGAAATAATTGTTCTCCCTCCAGGCTCTGAATGAGGAAATTGTGAGTCGAAAGAAGACTGTGGACCAGGCCATCAAAAACGGACAAGCTTTACTCAAACAGACCACAGGTGAGTCTCATCCAACACCGCTGCGTTACCGTGGATCCTATTTACGCAGACACACACCGAGACAGACGCACACAGACAGAGACGGACAAACACACACACACACATAGAGACACAGAGACAGAGAGACGGACAAACACACACACAGGGACACACACAGAGACGCACATACCCGCACACACACACACTGAGGCAAACACATATACACACTCACACAGAGAGACACAGAGGCAAACACACGCACACAGAGACACACACACAGAGACATAGAGACGGACAAACACACACAGAGACACACAGACCCTCACACACACAGAGGCAAACACACACACACACACACACACAGAGACAAACACACGCACACAGAGACACACACACAGAGACATAGAGACGGACAAACACACACAGAGACACACAGACCCTCACACACACAGAGGCAAACACACACACAAACATAGAGACATATGCACACACAAAGACACACACAGAGAGAAACACACACACATATGCAGAGACACACACACACAGAGAGAAACACACACACATATGCAGAGACACACACACACACACAGAGAGAAACACACACACATATGCAGAGACACACCCACGCACATAGAGACACATATACACACACACAGACAGAGACACACACGCACATGCACACACACACACAGACAGACACACATTTCACACCGACTTAAAAGTTGCAAATTCAAACCAAAATTGGACCGTGCGCACTCTGCCGGAACATGCTGTGTGGTGCTACTGAACCCCTGCTACTATTTCTCCCTCGAGAGATGAAGGAAAAAATAATTGTCTGAATCTGAACTTGGCAGGAAACCCAAACGGAAATGTAGACAGCCAAAACACGATATAAAGTAACGCGCTGGCGAGGGAAAATAATCAAAATGACAACGTAACAAGATCTTATCATCAAAGTGTGGGCTTTTGTGCACGCTGACAATAAGACAATGTTTCTGCTGTATGTAATGTGACCACATGCACGAATAAATAAGTAAACTTGCAAAAGCACTGTGACCTTGGACTTATTTTTAAAGTTGGAAGTTTATTTCTCCTATGGTGAAAAGCCGACAAGGGTCCAAACAACTCGCCGAGCTTTCCCAGTGAGAGTCCTGTGATCGACAGACCATCACGCAGCTTAAATACCAGGACTGCAGCAGGAAAACCAAGAAACACATTTCTCTATCTGTGGGAAACCAAACGTCAACATCTGGTTTCTCCGCTCATGTCGGACACAAACCACACGACAGCTTTTACTTAGAAAGACACGATTGTTGGTCTACCCCATGACCACCCCTTTGTGTCTGTGTGTGTGTGTCTCGTAGCGTCTCTCTCTCTGCCTCTCTCTCACTCTCCGTCTGTCTCTCTCCCTGCGTCTCTCTCCCTTTCTGTCTCTGTCTCTCTCTCTGCCTCTCTCTCACTCTCTGTCTGTCTCTCTTTCTCTGCCTCTCTCTCATTCTCTGCCTCTGTCTCTCCCCGTTTCTCACTCCCTGTCTGTCTCTCTCCCTGCGTCTCTCTCACTCTCTGTATCTCCCTGTCTCTCTCTCTGCCTCTCTCTCACTCTCTCTCTGTCTCTATCTGTCTCTCTCTCTCTGTCTCTCTCTCTCTCTCTCTGTCTCTTTCTCTCTGTGTAAATATCTGTGTGTGTGTGTGTGTCTCAACATATGTGTCTGTGTGCCTCCAACCCTTTTAAAGAGATAGATTGCGTTTGTCCTCCTTTTTTGATGTAAAAGATTGATCCTGAATCACAAGCGTTTGATAATTAATCGGAATTAAAAGCTTGACTTATTTGTATCCCCTTCATCTTCTTATCATTTGGACAATCTGTGCCATTCCAAATTACTATAAATAGTGTAGCAGAAGACCTGTCTAAAAGAACTACTGTATGTTTGCTTTTGGATCCTTTCATCTTTTAAAGGTGACATCTGTAACTTCAGTTGTATTTCATTTTGCATAAGAATACATTTGTTGACCTAATGACCGTGTGGTTTCACTGAAATTAAGGTTTATTCATAAATAGTATAACAGAAGCTGTCCCTCCCCTTGACATGACCACCAGTAGTGAAATTTGCTGGAGGCGAATAGACCAAAAGAGAAGAACAAGCGCTTGCATTTATAAAAAGAAAGCAACTAAACTTCACTAACTGTTCTATTGAGATGAAAGTCAATGCCCCCAATGTGTAAATTATAGAAATGATGAAAAAAAGACTCATAAACTTGTTTTGAACAGACATTTTACTATTAAATTATCGTTCTGTTCTACAACTCCTCTGTCATGCACTCACACCATTATTCCGTGTGTCTTGTAGGTGAGGAGGTCCTTCTGATCCAGGAGAAGTTGGACGGTATAAAATCTCGTTATGCTGAGATGACGGCGGGCAGCAGCAAAGCTCTCCGGACTCTGGAGCAGGCGCTACAGTTAGCAACACGATTCTCCAGCGCTAACGAAGACCTCAACCAGTGGCTGGACTCTGTGGAGACGGAGCTCAATAACTCCGAGCCGGACGCCACACCGGCCTATCAGAAGAGGCAGAAGGTAGATCCGACATCACTTCAACAAATCGTCTTTGTCTTGTGCTATTTTTGTACGATGGGGTTCCTCAAGGCTTAGTGTTAGCCCCTTTACTATTCCCTCTTTACCGACCTACCTATTTAACATTTTTCCGGTCACTTGCATGCATTGAACTTGCAAAAATAGGAATATGTTTTAAACCCATAGATACATTTAGATTATAGATACATTTTATAATACACAAACATGCTAATGCTAATGATTTCTGCATGAATAATAATAATGATAATAATGCATTGATTTGTGAAAGTAAATATGTTGCCTTTCAGTATTGTAGTTTGTATTATTTTTGGTATTTTTAAGCAGTCCCACTCCTTGCAAAAGTGTTACTATAGAAACAACAACTTTGTAGAACACAATAATTGTTTAAAACTTCTTCACAGTCTAATCTACCCTGTAATTTCCCTTCAAAATGGCCTTTCACAAACAGTTAGATCCACATCTTTGTAGCGCTTTGACTGGAAACCTCTGTCTCTGCTGCAGGAGCTGAAGAAGGTGTCGGCGGAGAAGAGGCTGGTCCTGGACACGGTGAACGAGGTGGGCAGTGCTCTCCTGGACCTGGTGCCCTGGAGAGCCAGAGAGGGACTGGACCGACTGGTGTCAGACGCAAACCAGCGCTACAGAACCGCTGACGACACCATCACACAGAGAGTGCAGCTGGTGCAGGCCGCCATCCAGAGGTCACAACGGGTACTGCAACAATATTTACTTCACCTTCTTTTTTGTTTTTGTAATTTGCAAATACAAATCTCCACTCCGGCAATTTAAGTTAAAAAGACTTAATTTGAACATGGCTTGAGATAAAAAAATAACATCTCTCTATGTTTTAAACAGTGTCTTTCCATGAGTGACTTGCTTCCTCCAAAACGTTACATACGTTTGATTTGCTTTCAATTCAATTCTAGTATGATTTTTTTTAATAGCCCTAAATCACAACTGTAGTTAACTCAAGAGACTTTACAAAGCTTGCGATTCGTCAACAACAGATCAGAAACAGTGAACACATGAAATGCAATCAGGTCTGAATATATTATTATGAGAACAACGTTATCACATGAATAAACAGGACTTAATTTTGTGAGTCAGACTAATGAATACCGTAAAACAGTACAGGTTTATATTAACATCTCTTGTCTGTCCAGTACGAGGAGGCGGTGGACGCGGAGCTGGCCTGGGTTGGGGACACTGAGAGGAAACTGTCGTCTCTGGGGCCTTTGAGTCTGGAGCCCGATGTGACGGTGGCTCAGCTCCAGGTGCAGAGAGCCTTCAACATCGACATCATCCGACACAAGGACACCGTGGACCAGCTGCTGGCCACAAGAGACGAGATCCTGGAGACCTGCAACGACAGCCAGAAGGACGCGCTGCTGGTGAGACCTCATACTTTTCTTATCTAATTTATCCAAATCTGGCATGTCAAAACTCGCCCGGGGGTCAATTACGGCTCTCTTCCGGTAACACAGTCTAGAGACTTTGATGTGAGATCATAAGCACAGTGTCATTCAGCCAACTTCATGTATATACTGACATTTGTTTGTGTAACAACATGCTGGCTGGTGAGACACACATTTGTGTATGCTTTCTGAAAGGCAGAGAGCCAAATAACATTTTGGCAATTGTCCCATGGGCATTGTCCCCAGTTACTTGCAGGATAAATAATTATTCAAACACATTTTGTAATAAGTTAGCTGTTTAATGGAGAAAATGGCCATTTATAATCCATTCACTGGTATTTGTTCTTATCAGATATCAGCAGATAATTGAAGCATGGAGGTCAGTGTATCCCCAGTATAATTGAAATGTTCTGGTACAATATTTGTCGGTTTTTGGGGGGTTTGCCATTTTTATAGAAACGATAGTGACGTACAGTACAGGGACAAGTACAATATAGAATTAAATATACTTGTCTCATTGTGAATGAATTGCTTATCAGTGACATGTGCATGTAAACTTTGAATGACCATGTTCTCATGATGCACAGGTGAAGACGGACTCGCTCAACCTGCGGTACGAGGCGGTGAACCAGACCCACAGTGAGCGCTTCTCGGCTCTGGAACAGGCCCAGGTCCTGGTGGCTCGTTTCTGGGAGACGTACGAGGAGCTGGAGCCGTGGCTGGGAGAGACCGAGGCCCTGATCGCGCAGCTGCCTCCACCTGCGATAGACACTGACGCTCTGAGGCTGCAGCAGGACCATATGAGGGTGAGAGATGGAGATGTAAACCAAATGTTTATTTGTATAGGACAATTTATACAACAGGAAATCCAATGTGCTTTACAGAACAGGGAAGAAAACATAAACACAGTACATCAAATCTTTCAGTTATAAATTCCTTAAGTAATGCAGACTCTGAGGAGCACAGGGACTGGCCTCCTGCTGAGACTCTGAGGAGCACAGGGACTGGCCTCCTGCTGAGACTCTGAGGAGCACAGGTACTGTCCTTCTGCTGAGACTCTGAGGAGCACAGGGACTGGCCTCCTGCTGAGACTCTGAGGAGCACAGGGACTGGCCTTCTGCTGAGACTCTGAGGAGCACAGGGACTGGCCTCCTGCCGAGACTCTGAGGAGCACAGGTACTGTCCTCCTGCTGAGACTCTGAGGAGCACAGGGACTGGCCTCCTGCTGTTGCCCAGAGTCAGGACTAGTTAGTTAGTTATACTTTAGTTAGTTAGTTATACTTTATTGTTCCCGTAGGCGTTTCATATTTATGCAGCTAGAACAGTCTTCCTGAAAATGAGAGAGAGGCTTCTTCTCTGACATTGTTCAAATCCAGGTTAAAAACAGTTCTGTTTTGCTGCAACAACTGAAGGATTGTGTCTCCTTCTGCAGCTTCTGCGAGAGTCCATCGCAGAGCATAAACCTCACATTGACAAACTGCTGAAGATCGGGCCTCAGATGGCCGAGCTCAGTCTGCACGAGGGAGAGACCGTCACGCGTCGCTATGACGATGCCGAACGCCGCTACATCGCCATCAAAGAAGAGGTGAAGCGGCGAGCGGGGACTCTGGACGAGGCGGTCTCCCAGTCTGCACAGGTGCGTGACCAAAACAAATTATACAGAAGTTAAAGCTTTAGCCACCGTTTCAAAGTCAGGTCCTAAGTCTTCCAAATGTTTATATTCTGTGGTTTTTAGCGTGATCCGTCAGATTTTGGTTACATAGTTTCATTCATCATATGCTTCAGAAGGTCTAGTTTGGTTCTTGTAAGCTCTAGATTGTTTATGATGTTTTTAATTGTGGTTGGCCTTTAATAAATACTAAAATCACATTTTTATATTTATCTCAATACAAAAGATATGATATTTGTATTGAGATAAATATTTTACTAATTACAGTATAATTAGTATATGATGCTAAGCTCGTTCTTAGACTTATTCATCAAGTTTACATCTGCAAAGTTGTGACATCAAACTATTCCGTCCACCTCCAAACTCAGGACCCACATTCAGAATCCAAACTCAGGACCCACATTCAGGATCACAGCGTCTTTCCAAACGCAATCACACACAGACTCAGATACTGCACATAAATTGACGTAATTACATCATTTGGATCTTGGTTCAGACTGATAAATTATCTCTAAAGGTTTTTTAGCCGCAGCCTGTTAGCAGTTCCGGTTAATGTTAGCTTCGCAGACGCTGGGCAGAAATTTGGAGTAATTTACGAGCCGTGCGAGGGCCCCTAGGAACTGCTCTGCATTTAAATGGGAAATTTGTTCAGAAATGTCTTTACCCAAGGAGACAGTGGCCTCGGGAGCTTAGATCTGCCCCAGCAACTACTGTGTAATTATCTACTTTAATTTTTTAAGTTTGTCAAGTTCCTTTTTATCTTTCCATAACCTGTAAGGGCCTTATAAGGCATGCTTGCACCTCTGACGACCTGTGTAACAACATTAAACTTATTAAAAATAAGTTTAAATGCAGCAATTAACTTCACCTTCATGAAACGTTTTGAGAACTTTTTCCCCATTCAAAAAGTTAAAAATGTTGCTTTCATTTGGGAACCACTTTGGCGACGGTCATATTAAAGCTGGGGTACCTAACTTTACTTTTCTGAAATCACACACAAAAAGAGTGTTGTGAAACAGAAAGACTCAGTCAAATGCTATGAACGAATTATATTTATCATGAGAGAATGTTAGCTTTTGTATTTGAAAAAGCGAGCCCCGTGAGTCACTGTTTGACTATTTAGGACTGATCAAGAGTGGTCATGTCACCTTTTTGACTGAAAGAATTGATACATAGAGCTGGCAGTCTCATATTTTTAAACATGTTTCTAGTCTCTCTGTGCAGCACTTTCAGGAATGTTTTTAATAATATAAAAAATAGATCAAGTTGATTGAATTGGATCTAAAGACAGAGGCCGAAAACACCAGTGAAGACCAGAGATAGAACCCCAAAAACTTTTCAGTGCCAGGTACTAGGATTTTTGTTGTGGTTTGAAAGTTACATACCTCAGCTTTAATATTAATCTCTGCGCTCCCTAGCGACGACGGCATGCTCATGTGTGTGCATATTTGGTCATTTTAAACAAACCATATTCTCATAATCATACTCTTTCTTACCCATAGAAACAGTATAGAGAGCTTTCTAGTTCATACTGTATTTACAGCACTGATAACGTGTGTTTTTGTGGTTTTTTACGCATGTAATTTGGTTTAACTCATGTTTTGTTTCTCCACCCTACTCCTCTGTCCCATTCAAACACGTTTTTTCCCCCCTCACCCCTCCTCACTCACCCACGTCTCACCCTAACCTCACCCACCACCCACTCTAACCCCACCTTCACCCGTTTGCATCACTGACTGTGGCTGTGTGTGTTGCTCTACATCCATTCTCTCCATTGGTCACTGCTCACTGCATCACCAGCTGCTAGAGGTAAGAGACACCACCGTAGCACAATGCACTCTGGGTAATCATTAGTGCGACATCATCTCTCATTGCTTCTGGTGCGGGAACTGTCAGACTCAAAATAGAGATGTATTGCTACTGTTGGAGAGATCCCGTTTTCGTCCCACAGTGGGGATATTTCAGTGTTGCGTCACCAGTTACAGAACAGTAGGAATTAGGAGCACACAGCATAAGATAAGTGAACAATAACTATATACTAAAATAACATCTCTAACTTTTGCATAATAAAGAAGCAATTAAAACCTCCAGCTTTGGCATAATAAAGTAGCAAAAATATAATCTCTAACTTTAGCATAATGAAGAAGCAAGAATTGAGTATGAAATCTCACATTTTTGAATGCCATACTATAGTCCTAAAATTGATACTAATTTAGGAATTTTACATATATTACATTTTTGGATTATTACTGGTCCCCATGTCTTATTCTCAGTCAAATTTGAGAAAAGGGAAATGTCAAAACCCAAAAGTGTGTCTTTCTACCGTCTACTGCAACCAACCCCCACACAGCAGCTATACCCTCCTGTTTATTTAAGGCTTAGAAGGCTACTAGCTAGCACTGCTTCAGCGGAAGTCTACAGCCCAAATATGGAACAGGTAATTAGTCAGTAATAGGTTCTTTACACTCTTTGTCTATTTGAAAGAGTTTTAAGAGAAATAATTAACTTTTATATTTACCAAGGAACACGTAGGCAGACCTTGGAGCTTGATCTTTCTCTGTGTGGTGATTGTTCCCACTTATAATTGGAGTAAATGAATCAATGGAGGCCAGAACAACATAGACATTGTGTTTTTTCTTTTACCGTGTTTTGGAGAATAATGGGTGATAAGTCATAATGAGTAAACTTAATTCCACAGTTTCATGTTTGTTCAAATAAAATGAACATGTTACATGAGAATAAAGGTTGAAGATACTTGAACAACGATAGACCTAAACCTAATAGATCCATGTCCTAAACTCCTACCTTTCCCCTCAGTTCCACGATAAGATGGACCCTCTGCTGGAGACGCTGGAGGCCGCGGTGCAGAGACTGCGACAGCCGCCTCCGGTGGCGGCGGAGGTAGATAAGATCCGGGAGCAGCTGTCAGACCACCGCGCTCTGGGCCTGGAGCTTGACAAACTCCTGCCCAGTTTCTCTGCTCTGTGCTCCCGCGGAGAGGAGCTCATCGGACGGGCAGCTCACGACGACCCGGCCGCTCAGGGTGAGGACCAGACACCAGACTGTTTTATGATTAAGATTTAGAGATCCTTTAACCGTTCCACCGTGGGGAAATTTGAAGATGCTTGTCCACTTTCATACATTTTATGTATTTGTTGTGATAGTTTTCTCCTGCCCCAGTGTAACATCTGCCCTCTCTCCACAGCGGTGCGTTCTCGTCTGCTCCGGCTCCGCTCTCTCTGGGACGAGATCCGGCAGAGGGCCGAGGAACGCGAGGGGAAGCTGAACGACGTGCTGGACCTGGCCGGGAAGTTCTGGTCGGACGTGGCAGCTCTGCTCAGCACGCTCCGAGACTCTCAGGACATCGTGAAGGAGCTGGAGGACCCCGGCGTTGACCCCTCCCTCATCAAACAGCAGATCGAGGCTGCAGAGGTCAGGCCTGATTCATGTGTCTGTCTATCTCTCCATCTATCTAAACGGTTACATCATTTCCAACTAGGAATTAGAGGGTCTAACCTAGGACGACCCCATGCATGTCCAAACTAAGGCCCTCTGTGTTATTTCATGAGTTTTGAGATCATAAACACAAATTCACAGTCAGGCCGACTTCAGCTCAGCCCATAAAGGTTTTGAATTCAGCTGGTAACTTTTTTTGTATATTGTAACAATAGTTTTTTATCACAAGTGTCACAAATTTCCAAGCAAGTGAGATTTGTCATCCATCCCACAATCCATCTTCTTCCCCTTAATCCATTTCTGGGTGGAAGTGTGGCAATCGGAGCTACACTCAATCCACAGAGCACCCGCAGGAGGAACATTAGCTCATAGCTGGTCATAGCTAAGTATTCCTTGTGCTACCCTCGGGTCAAAATGACCTGCCATAGTGATTATAAGTAGACTCTAAATTAGGGTCTAAATGGCCCTGGGTTGGTCAAGTTAGGAAAAATTATCAAAATTATCAAAATTCAGCTTCTTATTCTAACCCTATTACTAATATAACTACTACAATAAAGAGGAACGTTAAGAGAAATGCTTTACATTCATAAATGTTTTAAACAAATGTAATGTCATGTAATCACCCTCACCTTGTCTCTGGCCATCATTCTGAAACATGGATAACACTATAATACAAGAGAAATATTGAAAATATCTCCTGTATTCAATATGTACATTCCTCGATGCCTTTTGTGTTCTCCAGGCCATTAAAGCAGAAACAGACGGACTGAGGGAGGAGCTGGAGTTTGTCAGGACCCTCGGGGCTGACCTCATCTTTGCCTGTGGAGAAACGGAGAAACCTGAAGTCAAGAAAACCATTGACGAGGTGACGATTCCAACCAGACGTGAGGAAACTATTGAACTGAAGTGGTCTAATAGATGTTTGTGCTTCAGATGAACGCCGCCTGGGAGGGTCTCGACCGAACCTGGAGGGAGAGGATGGAGCGACTGGAGGAGGCCATGACTGCTTCTGTTCAGTACCAAGATGCTCTCCAGGTTTGGACCTTTACACTCTGGATTATGGCTGCTTTATGCTCTTTATAAGCATTTATTTATATATATTCTAATCTATGTTGGTATGGATGGTGTATTATTGCTGCTGGACACTTGAATTTCAATAGAGTATGTACAGTATCTATCTAGCAATAACCTGACTATATTCACACATACTATAGTCATTTGGCTGCTGACATGATTGTCCTAAAGCTAATCTTTCATAATTTTTCTATTGTGTTTGTCCCAATAGAAAGGGCTTATAAAAGTAAAATATTTTGACCAAACTGCAAATGGCAAATAAGTTGAATTTTTAAATCTTGAGGCAGTCATCCAACTCTGTGTAATCTGACATTCACTTCTTTGTCTCTGATCTCATATAAAATTCCTGTTTCAAACTTGTTTTTCAGTCTATGTTCGACTATCTGGACAACGCTGTGATCAAGCTGTGCGACATGTCGATCGTTGGGACCGACCTGGGAACAGTGAAGCAGCAGATAGAGGAGCTCAAGGTTTGAAGGAAACATTTACATTCACACATAAATAACCCCGTCTTTTTCCATGTATACAGATATTATACTTTTTGTGGCGAGAGATTTGAAGTCGACAAACTCTAAACCCAGTCTTGTCTCGCCCCATGAGCAGCAGTACAAAGTGGAGGTCTACCAGCAGCAGATCGACATGGAGAAACTCTGCCACCAGGGGGAGCTGTTGCTGAAGAAAGTCTCGGACCAAACGGACAGAGACATGATCCAGGAGCCTCTGATCGAACTGAGGCATCTGTGGGAGAATCTAGGGGATAAGATCACGCAGAGACAGGTACAGAATCTAAGAAATGTGTTGAAATAACAAAAACAGCTGTGTTTGTGCTTAAGGCGGCTTTAGAAACAGCTTTGCATTCACTTTATTTACCACTTACCAGCTGCTTTTGCAAGTTGCGATCCTTGTTGTGTGTTTTCTAGCCACACATTTGTCCGTAGTCTGTTGTTATTAAATGATACAGCACATATATTGAAAACATTTATATATGAACTCCCAGATATGTTTGTTACGTTATTTTACGTTCTGATACATTCATATCTATTTGCGAGTTGCCAAAACATCTTTCAATCTCTGCTCGAAATTCATATCTCATTAATGGCATGCAACTTTAATCTTATTCGCTCTCATCCTTTACTGACACAAAATGTGACTTATTCCACCAGATAAGAATGCATATATTAATAATATATGATTCTGATTTCCTGGATTACAATTCTTCAAAACATGTATGAAACTTACCAGTTGTCTGTGGAGATTGGACTGTAATTTTGAGTTTTCTGAGTTCCGCTTGTTTCTTGTTCCATCCATTAGTTACTGAATGATCTAGATCGGATGTCTCCAACCTTGTTCACCCAGAGAGCTACTTTCCCGAGACTATAAAGGCAGAGAGTCATTCTTTATCATTGCATAATTGTTACTAGTGCATTTGCAATCATAAATAATGATAATCTGAGACATTAAGTATATTATTTGATTTGTTTGTTTCTAAATCCTTTGGTGAGCTACTGGTGGCTCTAGAGCTACAGGTTGGAGACCCCAATCTAGATCTAATAAATAGTAATAATCGTGACAGGGCTTTTCCCTTGTCTATATTGTTGTAGATAACATGAAAGCCTATGAATACACCTCCTGCAGTGTGTGTGTGTGTGTGTGTGTGTGTGTGTGTGTGCGCGTGTGTGTGTGCGCGTGTGTGTGTGTGTGTCTGCTTCGTTTTACCCTGCTCTCTCTCCTGCTGCAGCACAAACTGGAGGCGGCCCTGCTCGCCCTGGGGCAGTTTCAACACGCGCTGTCGGAGATCCAGGCCTGGCTCAGTCACACTCACGCCACGTTAGACACTCAGAGACCCGTCAGCTCCGATCCCAAGGCCATCGAGATCGAACTGGCCAAGCACCATGTACGCAGCCGCTTCACTCACACAAACTACTGCTGCTTTCTGTCTTTTTGGCTCCACATTTGAATCTTAGTTCAGGACTGGACTTAAAGGATCAGGGTTATTTTTTTCTTTTATTCTTTTTTATTTCATAGTACTGCTGCATCACTCAGTCAACTAATAATATTAATTGTGTTTGTCTAATGGGAATAGTTAAAACCCCTCCAACTGACAAATCCAATAAACTTTAACAATATTTCAAAGATGTGTATATTGATGTGTATACAAACCTGAATTACCAATAGAAATACTCGTTCGCGAACTCTACTACTAAACTAATTATTATTGTACAGTATGTGCTAGTATTACAAGACATGCAATTTGGAGTATTCTTTATTTGATTTATCTGGGTTTTTTTTCTCATTTCAATAGTGCAGTTGCCTCATGAGTAATATAATTTTTGTTTAAAGTAGTGCTGTCCAAAATATCGCGTTAATAACGCGTTAACGCAAATCAATATTAACGGCGTCATTTTTTTTATTGCGCAATTTTAAAAAACAATATTTTTTTTTACTTTTTATTGCAGACAAACACATATACAGAAAAAAAATAGAAACAAAGAAAATGACTAGTTCAGATACATTGTAGACAGAGATTACAAACAATATGTAGTTGGAGATACAGGGGGCCAAAGAAGAAACCCAGAAGGGGGGGGGGGACATGAAGTGGGAGATGGGGGGGAGGGGTTAATAAAAAAGGCAATACAAGCAAACAGTATACAATCATAGATATACCGAAAGTAAACAGAGAAACAGCATAGAGTATTTACATGAACAAATTTACAAAATATTAAAAAAAGCAATTGCACACAGCACGCCTATTCACTTTTTAGTAGTATTAAAATGATAATTCAAGGGACATAAAGAATAGATACAAATGTGTGGCTAATTTGCGATTAAGCGCGAGTTAACTATGAAATTCATGCGATTAATCGCGATTAAATATTTTAATCGTTGGACAGCACTAGTTTAAAGGTTTGAAATGTACCTGTAGTGTTATAAGGATGCATGCCAAGATCCTCATGTGTGCATTAGTCCTAGTATTCTAGCTATATTCACTGAACTCTGATCCAAGTAACACATTTTCTAAATCTGTTCTTTGGTTTTAATTATGTGTCGTTCTTCCCCGTTGCTTCAGGTGCTGCGTAATGACGTGCTTTCCCATCATGCAACAGTGGACACGGTGAACAATGCGGCGGCTGAGCTCCTGGAGTCTTCTCCCGGAGACGAGGCCAGTCACCTCCGCGAGCAGCTGGAGCAACTCAACCAGAGCTGGGAGGGTCTGCTGCTCAAGACCCAGGACCGACAGAAGCTGCTGGAGGCCGCGCTGCAACAGGTGCTTATGGGGTCCTTTTGGAGAGCAGTATTTCAACTAGGGCTGTACAATGTATCTCTAAATGTTAAGGCACACTTATGTTATACCCTCAAGGCACATTGTCCTCTGCTTATGATCCATCCTGCAATGCTACAAGGGCTTATGCTCGCCGTAGTTAATTGCAGATTTAGTTTTTATAGCGTTTTCCTAACACGCCACCTGTATTTGCAAACATCCAATACAACATCATATAATTGCTACTAACATGACAGTCACCTTTATATAATGTCAGAAGAAACCTTTTGTGGTTTGTGTGCACCACAGTGATTAGTTCAGAGAAGTACCATCTTCCAGTAGTCTTCAGTCCTGCCCCTCAATGTCCTCTGCAGCTGTACTTTACAGCGTGTGCGCGGCTTTTGACAGCTGCAGCAGATCTACAACCAACAGATTTGTTATCTCTGATGTCTCACTTCAGCTGTTGTGAGTTCAGGTGGTTAGGAAAGTGTGTGTAAGTAGTTTTACAGCCTTAAAACATACAGCAGCATTTCAGGGATTTCACCTAACGCACGCACGCGCACACACACAGACTCAAACTCTCCAACTTAAAGTAGTATCTTTAAGATCCTATACTGACTAATACTGTGGCTCTGTCTCCTGTGTCTGTAGGCGGAGGGCTTCCATGGAGAGCTGGAGGAGTTCCTTCAGTGGCTACGGAGAACTGACAGCCATCTGTCTGCAGCCAAACCCACCGGAGGCCTCCCTGAGACGGCCCGCGAGCAGCTACAGCAGCACTTGGTACCACAAAACCCCATTCATATGAATACACCTGTTGTGTTTGTGTGTCGTTGTTACCTTAGACCTTGTTATTGTGATCCCAGAATAATGGTGGGCATATGGCAGACGTGTGTAACTCTACCTCTTTTATCTCACCCTCACCTCATCTCACTGTCCTTTGACTAAATCCTTGTGTTTTCTTGTGTCCAGGAGCTTCAGGCTCAGCTCATGCACAGGGCGGAGCAGTACCACCGCCTCCTGGACCAGGGGGAGTCCATGCTTTTGGCCCGAGGCGAAGACGCTGGTCCTGGGGCCACGCAGACCCAACAGAACCTGGCCATGCTGCAGAACAAGTGGACCAGTCTCAACGCCAAGATGGACGACCGCAAGGTAAACCCTGCTCTACTTTTATCCTTTATTCCACATCTATGCCTTATGCTCTTTTATTTACCTCATCACAACATAACATCATGACAAATTCACAACAAAAGTGTCATGTCTTGTCTTGAATTCAGGATTTTGCTCTTCATCTGAGTATTTTTGGACTAGTTTAGTTGTTATTCCTTTACGAATCCAACAAAGAGGAGATGATTTTCACCAGATTTAGCTGCAGCTACTTTCTATCTGTTGTCCCTGGGCATGTAATGAGTCTTTATCATATATTTGTTTCCCATTTAAGTTGAAATACAGAAATTACTTTTGAACAACATTCCAATTTCCAGAGTTTCCCCTGTAACAAGTCTCTTAGAAACCCGAGGCCCACATCCAGATTGTTTTAATGTTTGTGTGGACGTTTGTCTTGTAGGCGAAGTTGGAGGAGGCGGTAACGTTGGCCACAGGGTTCCAGACCTCGCTCCAGGACACCATTAATTGGCTGACGCAGGCCGAGCAGACGCTGAACATGGCCCAGCCGCCGAGCCTCATGCTGGACACCGTACTCTTCCAGATCGACGAGCACAAGGTCAAAACATTCAAACATTATAGATAACATACTGTAGATATTTGTGGGTTTTGACTTTTTGAAGGTGTTACATGTGATCTAGGTGGGAGGGTTTAAGGCCTTTTGCAGATTTAAACGAGTTTAACGTGACATATGTAATGTGCTTGTGTGAGTGAGGCATTTAGCATTTAGCCTATCTTTAGCATTTAGCCTAGCTTAAGCTATCTTCTTTGCCACTAACTCTTGTGTGTTGTGCAGGTGTTTGTGAATGAGGTGAACACTCACAGGGAGCAGGTGCTGGCCCTGGAGAAGGCCGGCTCTCAGCTCAGGTTCGCGAGTCTCAAACAAGACGTGGTCCTGATCAAAAACCTGCTGCTGAGTGTCCAGGCAAGATGGGACAAGCTGGTGCAGAGGTCACTGGACCGCGGACGCCACCTGGACGAGGCCCGCAAGAGAGCCAAGCAGGTGAGGGGCTGACGGAGCTGCTCTGTAGGGAGGGAGGAGGTCAAAAGTATCCAAAATCTGATGGTCATTTATTCTAAAAATAGTATTGAAGCTACAACACTCAACTGAGCAAGCAACAGTACTGATACGATTACAAAAATAGGACAAAATGTTTATTCAATTTAATTAAACATATTTTTGTTTAGTCCGAATTCACAACAGTAGCTATCTTTTTACAAAGCTGTCGATTCGCCAACACAGATCAAAGAATCAAACATCAATAGAGCCATTGGTCCATAAGGGGCAGATAACCAATGTCCATAAATGTTTATATATATATATGATATGCTAATCCAAACTTTTTGGTTAGAGGGCCACTTTAGTTCCCCAGACTTGTCCTGGGGCCGACAACCCAGATTTAAAAACTGTTTTTAGATTGGACATTATTATTTTTTTGTATACTGTAGTGACACAATCTAAAATTAAGCTCTGTCTTTACAAATAAAGTGCAAACTGTATTCTAGAGGTTTTGATGTTTACAATGAGGTATATGTACCACCGCAAAACACAACTGTTGTAATCTGATCTTTAACATTGTCAGAGTAGAAGTGGGAAGACTGTTCTGGATTTTATCTGCATAAATCTGAAACGCTGCCTCCCCATGTTTAGTCCTGACTCTGGCCACCAAGTAATTTGGTAAAATTGATAAATATTTCCTGTTTTAGTTCCACGAGGCCTGGAGGAAGCTGACCGACTGGCTGGAGGAGGCTGAGAAGAGACTGGACTCTGAGCTGGAAATCTCCAACGAACCCGACAAGATCAAAGTCCAGCTCACCAAACACAAGGCACAATATACACTTGATATTATCCAGGACTTCTTTATGAATGAGCTCCTCTCACCGATGTCTCTGTTGTGTTTCATGCAGGAGTTCCAGAAGGCCATGGGGTCAAAGCAGCCGGTCTACGATACCACAGTGAGGTCTGGACGAGCCATGAGGGACAAGGCCCAGCTCCCGGACGACAAGCAGAAACTGGACCATCTGGTGGGAGAAGTGCGAGACAAGTGGGACACGGTCTGCGGCAAAAGTGTGGAGAGGTAAAACTAGAGAGAAAAAGTTTAAATTACAATATTTGTGATAGTGGTGGAAGAAAGGGATTCTGTTCAGTATTGCGATATTTTGCGCGCTCAATTAAGTGGATACAGTATTATCATAAAGTATTATGATATTTAATTAAAGAATTATCAGTTTTCTCTGGTAATTTCCGTCTCAGGGGTATCTTCCTCGTCTGCGTGTCGTGACTCTAATCCAGGGGTGTCAAACCGGTTCCAGAAATGGCCAGGGTCGTTGCAGGTTTTTTGGACTCACCTGATGGAAATGGGAGGAGTCCGGTGTGCTCCTGTTTAAGTTGGAACTAAAACCCGCAACCACACTGGTCCTTTCTGGAGCCAGTTTGACACCCCTGCTCTAATCTGCTGTATTTGAATAATGTAAGTGATGTCCTGGGAGCTCCCCTTCATGCGAGAGTCGTCTAGGAGAGAATAATGATGTCCGTAATAAGGCTCTGTGTCCTGAATTTTAAGAATAAGATTTTTGCACTACCCTATGTGATTGCTTCAGTGAATGTGCAGACCATGATAAATGTGACAGAAGAGTGGAGCAGACTCACACCCGTCTCTCTCTCTCCTCTGGTTGCAGGCAGCACAAGCTGGAGGAGGCGCTGCTGTTCTCTGGTCAGTTTGCGGAGGCGCTTCAGGCTTTAGTGGACTGGCTTTACAGAGTGGAGCCTCAGCTAGCAGAGGACCAGCCGGTGCACGGAGACCTGGACCTGGTCTCCAACCTCATGGACGCACACAAGGTCTGAGAGCACACTCACCCACACACACACAAGCACACACACAAACACACTGTATTTACACATCTTTATACATAAACATACACTCATTCACACATATTATATGGATAAATAATTCAGTCTACAATCTTCTAGAAGACATGGTCATGATCACAAATGAATTCAGGATTATATTTTGTTTTATTTTATTTTTTCTAACAAATATATTTTTCATGGATAAGTGACAAGACTAGAATAATTAAAGTTCCATTTAGCTTCATTTCTGGTCTTATTTATTTCTCCTCAAACATGTATAGTTTCTTCAAAGTCAAATCAAATGAATCTCTTGGTTTATCCTTGTTTTTATAAAAGTAATGTTGTATTTTGTATCACTACCTATCACTTTGTCTATCACTATCTCTCCCACATCAGCACCTGCAAATGATTGTGTTAGTTTTGTCTCATCTTTCCTCATGGCTCTCGTCTCCTCTCTCTGCTCAGGCGTTCCAGAAGGAGCTGGGGAAGAGGACCACAAACATCCAGGCGCTGAAGCGGTCGGCTCGGGACCTGATGGACACAGGTCGAGACGACACGGCGTGGGTCAAAGTTCAGCTGCAGGAGCTTAGCAACCGCTGGGACACTGTGTGCGCTCTGTCTGTGACCAAACAGACGCGGCTGCAACAGGCGCTCAAGCAGGTGAGAACTTTCAAACTTTATTTACAAAGACAAAGCTAAGACAAAACACATACTCCAGAAATAATTTCCCATTTTATTTTGACATTTCTCTATCACCAATCTCTGGGTCAATGTATATTTCAGATCTTTATCAAGTCTAATCTTTGCTGTGTGTTTTTATTCATTCAGCAAGGCAAGGTTATTTGTATAGCACGGTTTAAACAATTAAACTCAAGGGACTATAATAGGTATAAATAATTATATATAAATAAATAATTCTCTGTCCGTCTGTCTGTCTCTGTCGCTCTCTCTGGTCTCTCTCTCTCTCTCTCTCTCTCTCTCTCTCTCGCTCTCTTTCCTTCAGGCGGAGGAGTTTCGCAGCTCGGTGCAGGTTCTCCTGGAGTGGCTGTCGGAGGCGGAGCAGAGCCTACGTTTCCGTGGCGTCCTGCCGGAGGAGGCGGAGACCCTCCAGGGGCTGCTGCACGCGCACAGAGACTTCCTGGGTTCCGTGGAGGACAAACGCGGCGACGTGAACAAAGCGGCGGGAATGGGAGAGGCCATCCTCACCCTCTGCCACCCAGACTCCATCACCACCATCAAGCACTGGATCACCATCATCAGGGCGCGCTTCGAAGAGGTACAGAGACACTACTCTACATTCAGTCGTAGAGCCCTGATGGCTCCAGGTGCATTTAGTAGGTGCATTTAGTAGGACTGTTAGTCTTTCATTCATTTTATTTATCAAATAAATGTTATAGGGACAAGTGTACACAATCAACATGTGAAACACTACAACATTTATAGCCAAGGTTAGTAATGTCCGACCCTATTAATGAAAATGCAACAGTTATACATAGCGCTCTTCTGGACACTCAAAGACGTTTCACATGTCATTATTTGTTTCCTCCATACACAGTTGTGATAAACTATTACTGTAGCCACAGCTGCTCCAATTTTTTTAGGATTCATGTGAGACAAGAAATGGAACATATAAAACTTTCTAACATTTTGTGTTGTTTATCTCTTTTTAAAGGCAATGAAACTTGCATTCACATTTCTTCTAACCGCAACATTGTTTTGAAGTTGCTTTAGTTGTTTTGTATAAAGTAATAGTGGATTGGACACAAATTACTAAAATGGTTTGAAGAGTTTTCGCCCTGTTTTTGTTGACCATTCATGTCTGTACAGTATGCTGCGATTACAATATGCAGTGAAATTCTTATGTACCTTCCAAACAGGACATAGCATTCAAAACATGAGGGTTTGAGTGGGTATAATCAGTATTTTGAATAAAGTAACATGACGCTCGAAAGGTTCCAGCCGCTCTGAGACTTGTGGATGTGGTTCAGGTTCTGACGTGGGCGAAGCAGCACGAGCAGAGACTGGAGACGGCTCTGACAGAAGTGTTAAACAACGCCAACCTGCTGGAGGAGCTGCTGTCCTGGCTGCAGTTCGCCGAATCCACCCTGATCCAGAGAGACACGGACGCCCTCCCTCAGGACATCCCCCAGCTCAAGACCCTCATCAGCGAACACCAGGTTAGAAAGTCCCTCATAATATGTCATAAAAGTCTTTCGCATTGACAAATAAACACAGTGAGAAATAAGCACCGGAGCTCTGAGTTTCAGGCTGTGGGGAAAAGGATTTGTGCAGTAAATGTCATGCCGTATTAAAGTCCCAACTAGAATGTTATTGTGTCACTATATAAGGACAGGACAGGATTGCACACATTAGTGGAATATGATTATGATCAAGGAGAACGATAACACGGAGAACAATCAATAAGTGGGTCTCCCAGAGGTTTCTCACTTTTTTCCCCACTGGGTTTTTCTTATGAGTTTTTCCTTGCCGATGCAGGAGTCTGTTGGGCAGTTAGTGTCCAACAAAAAGGACTGTGATGATCCAGGACACTTTAACATTCTACAACATGTATGGACATTTATCAACATGTGTTCTATATTCTTTTTCTGTCTTAACTGTTGATTCTCTGATCTGTGTTGGTGATTTCAGTGGTTTTGTTAAGTCCTCTGAGATGACTATTGTTGTGATTTAGGGCTATACAAGAATAAATTGTATTGTATTGTATAGGAGAACGATAACATATACATACTGTATATATAGAAATAAGATTTTTTGGTATAAATATTTTCATTCTTACAACCTCCAGCACATGCTTATATCACAAAAGAAATGACAATACGACAAAAATAGCTCTCACTGTATAGACTGGATGTGATGCAGAATTGGATAGATCTCCCTGGATACAGATGCAGTTACAGTAGAATGGATAATGTTATGTCATGTGTGGTCAAAAGTTTGCCTTCAAAAATATTTGTCTGCAGATGGACAGTAAACCCTCATAATTACTCAGACAAAAGTAGAGTTTCTCCCTAAAAAAGTTCCGGTTTTGGAGTTGAGAATGAACGGAGACAATTTGGATGATGTCACTCTTTTATGCTGCTTGTGTGTACCTCATTCATCCGTGGCTTGTTCATTACAGACTTTCATGGAGGAGATGACGAGGAAGCAGCCGGATGTGGACAAAGTGACAAAATCCTACAAGAGAAAACCCTCTGAGACTCTGGCCGAGAGGAGAGGAGCGCGTACGTTCAAAGACTTTGACATCTGCAATAATTGAAACCAACAAATCCATTCAGGTCTGACCCAAACTGTGTCTCCTGCAGGCAAACATCAGCAGCAGCAGCAGGGGGCAGTGCAGGTCACATCTGCCAATCCTCGTCTCAACCAGCTCTGCGCACGATGGCAACAGGTGTGGCTGCTGGCTCTGGACTGGCAACGCAAGCTCAACGACGCCCTCGACAGGCTGGAGGAGGTACTGAACCTGTCCAGCGCTCTTTCCTTTGTGCTATCCTCCATATTAAAAACACCTGTAATGATGATGACTTTCTCAACTTTCAGCTCAAAGAGTTCGCCAACTTTGACTTTGACGTCTGGAGGAAGAAGTACATGCGCTGGATGAACCACAAGAAGTCCAGAGTGATGGACTTCTTCAGACGCATCGACAAAGACCAGGACGGAAAGATTACCAGGCAGGAGTTCATCGACGGCATCCTGGCCTCAAGTGAGTTCTATCTGCACAAAGAGGATAGAAGCATGTCAGTGTCTGGTTAAAGCCTTACCCTACCCCACTCTACTCTAATCTCCCCTTCTCTACCCTACCCTACCCTACCCTACCCCACTCTACTCTACTCTACCCTACCCTACCCTACCCTACCCCACTCTACTCTACTCTACCCTACTCTACCCTACCCTACCCCACTCTACTCTACTCTACCCTACTCTACCCTACCCTACCCCACTCTACTCTACCCTACCCTACCCTACCCTACCCTACCCCACTCTACTCTACCCTACTCTACCCTACCCTACCCTACCCTACTCTACTCTACCCTACCCTACTCTACTCTACCCTACTCTACCCTACACTACTCTACTCTACCCTACCCCACTCTACTCTACTCTACTCTACTCTACCCTACTCTATCCTACCCTACCCTACTCTACCCTACTCTACCCTACTCTACCCTACCCTACCCTACTCTATCCTACTCTACCCTACTCTACTCTACTCTACCCTACTCTACTCTACTCTACCCTACTCTACTCTACTCTACTCTACCCTACTCTACTCTACTCTACCCTACTCTACTCTACTCTACTCTACCCTACCGTACTCTACTCTACTCTACTCTACTCTACTCTACTCTACTCTACTCTACTCTACTCTACTCTACTCTACTCTACTCTACTCTACTCTACTCTACTCTACTCTACTCTACTCTGATCTCACAATTGAGAAATGCACATGTCACATGTGGCATCTCTAGGATCTCTCAGGGCGTTTAAAAAGATGGAAACATTTACCGGCACCTGGTACTTTTTAATCCCTCTTAGCCCTGGTTCTATTCAGGCTGAGCTGGTACTAAAGTGTTATAACCAGTGGGGGCGGGACCCGGCTCCAAAGGTCCATGAGCATGTGCGCTGACATGCTTGCAATCTCACTCCTAGCTGGTGGGGGTGTACCTGGAAAGAGAATTACCCAATGCTTTTGTACGGCGTCTTCTTTCGTCTTGAAAACGACTTCATAGGATGGTCCAAAAGTCGGCTCTTGGTCCCAGATGCTGTCGATGCTGAGGGATGTTTTTTTGTTTAATTTTGTCAGGTTCCGTCTGGACAAAATACCAAGATGGGAGTTTGTCCTGTGAATCAATAGAAATGTATATTTGTATATTGTACCCATTTATAAATTGTACCCAATTATAAATGTCAGATCAGCCCAAATCCAGTCTGAACAGTTTTACAATCCATGTCGGTCTTACTACAGCTGATTAAATATCATTGTTCTGGCAGAATTTCCCACCAGTAAACTGGAGATGACGGCCGTGGCGGACATCTTTGATCGCGACGGAGACGGTTACATCGACTACTACGAATTCGTCGCCGCTTTGCATCCGAACAAAGACGCCTACAGGCCGACGACGGACGCGGACAAGATCGAGGACGAGGTGAAACTGTCAAAGGAGTCTGTAATATTGTTCGTATTAGAGGCCAGGCAAGGTTATTTGTATAGCACGATTCATACACAAGGCAACTCAAAGTGCTGAACAAAACTAGATATAAACAATCACACTAAGCATTCAATCACAGTATATTAAAAGGAGTGAAGATATAATCCTTCAGTTGTATGCAGCAAAACAGAACTATTTTTAACCTGGATTTGAACATTGTCAGAGAAGAAGCCTGTCTCACATTTTAAGGAAGACAGATTTTAGCTGGATGAATCTGAAACGCTGCCGCCACATGTTTAGTCCTGACTCTAGGCACCATCAGGAGGCCAGTCCCTGTGCTCCTCAGAGTCCGAGCAGAGATCTGAGGACGGGTCTAATGTGATGGTACTTCCTGGTTCTCGTCAGGACTCGAGCTGCAGCGTTTTGAATCCACTGCAGCTGACCTTAAATTTGACTGTGGTGTTTCTGCCTCAGGTTACTCGACAAGTGGCGCAGTGCAAATGTGCCAAGAGGTTCCAGGTGGAGCAGATCGGAGAGAACAAGTACAGGGTAAGGTCAAACAAAACAACAGTAGATTTCATATAGCACTCCATGGCTGTTTGTTTTAACTAAAGCTTCTACCATATTGTGTCACGTCATAGATTCACGCTGTTTAGAATATGATAATAAAAATGTTTGTTGTTGTGATTAGCGTCTCACCAGATCACCTGCTGTTTGTGTCTTATTACTTTGCCCTGTAAGTGTGCGTGTAAAGATACAGAACAAATCATGGAGGAGAAATTGGTATATTCTAAACCTTGGCTTAATTTAAAACAGAGGTCTCAAACTTGCTTTAACTGAGGGCCACACGAGGTTGAGTCTGGATGAGGTTGGGCGGCATGAAGGGATATGTTTATCACGTGTTTGTGTGTGTGAAAGTATATGGGTATTGGAGCAAGCGGATTAATGCAGATATAGAGTCAAACATCTGCAATTGCACAAGCTATTTTACTTTGCATTTGCAGTTTAGCTCATGGATTGATAAATACACCCTTTTTTTTTTTACAACAGCAGAGAAAGTTAACATTTGAGAGTCAGATTTATTTTTATTGTCATAAGAAAGTAACAGGAAGTCACGAACTAGGTTTTGCTTTAGAATATGGTTCTAAAAATTGACACATACACAAAGACGGATGAATCAAAGTTCTTTGGAAAGTTTGTTTATAGCTCATCATTTGGATCTGTGTGTTTTTATGAATATATAATTACTTTTGTTGTTTTCTTAATAAAATTACCCTTAAAATAATGTATAACATTCCATATTAGCCCAGACTCTCATTGGGGGCCGCACTGACATTAAACCTCCAGTAGGGGGCTACAAAATACCTTTCTGTTTGAGACCCCTGATTTAAAGTTGAATGTGGGTTTTTGTAGAATTTCATCCATTTTATTATAATCTATCTGAGCTAAGAAGTCTGCTATTGAGAAGTTAACTGGATACACAATCTTTTAAACAATATATTTTTTACTTAAATACTGTAATAAAATAAAATCCCCATGAGTTTGTATCTGTGCCGCCTTTTACAGGAGTCATTCATTTTAGCTGCTTTTTGGACTCATCACCAGCACTTACTATCATTGACTCATGGTCAATGATGTATGGTGTCTCACATGGAGACACTGGACGCCCTCTAGTGGCCTGTGTGTGTCATAACAGCTGTTTCTCTTTATCTAAATCTCTTTCTTCCTTGACACATTTACACTTTCAAACAATTAACACACATTTCACTGCATATGCTTCTCACACACTAATGCACTACTAGACCATAACATGTAGTTGTTTCTAAAGTCTAAATTAAGTATTTTTACTGCAAAATATACACATTATCAACTGTAAATACCTTGTGTTACATTTCCCTTTCTTTCTCTCCCCTCGTTTTTCTGCTCCGTGTCTGGATTTTTAGTTCTTCCTCGGAAACCAGGTAAAGTGACTTTTGCAGTGATGGGAATATGTGAGATCTGCTTCCTGGTTCTGCTCCAATCAAAAGTGCTCTTCAACAACACCACTCCCTCTTCCAAAACAGAGCTGGAGTTTTAGCTTCATCCATGCTGACATTAGGAAGTCAAAGCACAGACACATCTGTGGAAACACAATATGTCAAATTGACAATATATTGTCAATGACAAATTGTAATTGACAGATGTCATTTTTCCTCCTAATTATTGATTTACTGCTCAAATGTTGTTACTTATGTGCACTAGTGCCATGTTAGATTTAGATATAAATATATCAGAATGTAATTTCCTACTTATTCTCTTGAAGAAAAGCACTTTTGTTGTTATGGGCCTCGATAGCAGGTTGCACTTTCCTCTTGTTTGATTTATTTTTATTTTTTTCACTCATTTTTAAGCTAGCATCAATGGCTGGAGTGTTTTTTTGTGATTTACTCTGTATCTTGTTTTGGGAGAAAATCAGTCCAGGTTCAAGAAATGTCTTTGCTTTTGGAATCTCGGAAAAAAATCTGTATTTTGACTGGGATTAGACTTAAAGGGAACATAACATGCAATATTGATATTTCACAACTTTGGATTTATTGGTTTAGTCATTTTACACACTTATACTAGAGACCAATTCATGTGTATTTGAGTACTTTATATTATATCCCCACCACAATGCATAAAATGGTTCTACCATAGACTTTATTTTAGAAGTGGACTGACCAAGTGTTATCAGCCCCAAAGTCGGTTTGTCACTAGCTAAAGCTAAATTTGGGGTCAGAAAAAACCTTGTGGGTCACTTGTTCAGACTCATATCTTGATTTACAAAGACAATATCGCACCATAAACACCAGCATCAAAGAGAGAGCTGAACCACTGATTTTTAAACACAAAATTGTGAGTGCGACACAAGAGGAGTGCAATTTTCAATGTGCACTTCCCTTTTGGGCTTCAGTGAGGCTTGAAAAACAAAACTACTATTTTCATTATAGTCTAAACATAGTTGTTTATATTTTACAGCAGTCAGAAGCATGTTATGTCTTCTTTAAGATTTGCATGTTTTTTCCGCATGTTAGAATGGTAACGATTGGTTGAAACGTGGGTCTTTCTGGGCTGCTTGGCGTGATGGCTGCAAAAAAAAATCATAAAAGTTCATACATTTTTGTCTCTGTGAAGTGCCCTGACAGATTTCTCGACCTCTGTTTAGTTCGGGGATTCCCAGCAGCTGCGATTGGTCCGAATTCTGCGCAGCACGGTCATGGTGAGAGTGGGCGGCGGCTGGATGGCCCTGGACGAGTTCCTGGTCAAAAACGATCCGTGTCGAGGTGAGAGGATGTGGGGAGAATGAGACCAAATGTTGTTTTTATGTTCTGTTTTTGTCCTTTATGTTTGTGCTGGACCTTCTGGGTTCAAATTCACTGTCGGGTAAACCAAAGCATCATTAGCCAAGGCTATAGACCAGGCCGAGATATGACAGTTTGAATAATGCGTGGCCTTTTGAGTCTATATTAAAGGTCATTCTCTTTTCATTGTATTCATCAAACACATCTAAGTATTCTAATTTCAAGTACGTTAAAAGAGTAAGTCACACTGAGTACACGCTGTTTAAGGTACACTGCTTAACTTTGTTTGTGGAAGAAATGTGTGAAATTACCATTTTTTTCCCATACATTAATTTAACCCTCATGCTATCGTTGTGTCAAATTTACCTACCACAATGATTAAAAAAAACCTAAATAAAAAAATGTTGAGCTGGAATTTGATTATATTTTCTACCTTGACCGGCCCTGAGTCATTTAGACGCTTAATGAGACCCTAATTTAGATAATTTTCTTCCATTTTCCATCAAGTGTTAAAGCACAAGTATCAAACAATATCAGGTCACACAATTTAATATGTATGTCTATATATAATATATATTTCAGGTATTTTTTTTAGCATTTTATTCATTCCAGATCAGCGTTAGATCTGACTGTTACTTCAATCGGTGGCTTTCATTATAAATAAGACGCCTGAAGATCATTTTTTGTTCAGAAATAAATTGGATCAATCAATCAGTTCATCTTTATTTCAGACACACATAAAACCCATATAAAAAACAACATTTGAGACCAGATATTTAAGCACCACTTTTATACTTCCAATTTAAGTCGTCAGGTGCACTTTGTTTGCCTCTTGGTTTGTGTTGTAGGTGCCCACTGGTGCTACTTCCACAGGACCAGAGTAACACATGGTGGCTATTAGAAGGAAACTAGTTCATGACGACAAGGGACACAAAAACCCTCACAAAACGCACTAAACCCATTCTTTGTGAAAGCTGTAGGTCCCTGTCAGCTGAGGAACATCAGTTTGTGTTAACATTGAGGTCTATCTAATCTCTTATGCGACTGAGGCTACAGGAGCACTTATAGTCCACCATATTGAAGACCGGCTTAAGCTAGCAAAAGCCTTTCCAGATAGTGTAATACATTCATTGAGAACAGCCTAAGAAACGACTGTAGTGACAAACTATATCATAAAGTAAACAATAAAGCGACTGGCTCATCATGAAAGTTACGCAGTGTGCCTTTAGCTCGGTTCATACATCTGTTCAGTCTCTTTCAGTGATGTCTCCAGTCTTTTTCCCCTTTCAGTTCGATCTTCTCCTTGTTCCTCTTTCTCCAGAACATGCTCCTCTCTGTCTCCATGTGCCTAATTTGAATCACTGATATTTTTGCATGATGCATGGACCTCTCCCATCCCTCTCTTCCCCCTGGTTTTTTCTCTTTCCTCAGTGCAACACCCGGGACTTAAGATCCTCCGCTCTGACTCCAGTAGCTCCATCTCATCTCGTATAGGTTGGGTTTCCTCTAATCTTCACCTTTGTCCTGGCGAATAAACTGTCCTTTTCTCTTCAGCCTGTTGCCATGAATGTCTTTAACATGTTACTGGTCTGAGCTTGTTGTTTCTGTGCCTTGCTGACTGTGACTAACCACCAAGAGGCAGAGTCCTTCCCCTTTTAAGTTAGAAAGAGGTTTTAAATGATAGAATGTAGAATAAACAAATGTTATTTGAAAAGTTGAGACAGAAAAATCATTGTTCAGCTAATCAGCTCTGAGCCCAAAGTATCACATAAGGGCACTTCCTTAATATTACGCATGCGCTAAAACTAGAACATCAATAGAAAAATGCGGATTTTTTTTATTACCTGTATATACATTGATTTTCTATTTATTATATTTTATTTTTATTTTTCAGATTTCTCTTTAGATTATTTGATTAGATTTTAAAACAATAAATCCTGAAAGATACCAAACTTACCTTTCATCAAAGTATGATATTTAAAAGGCTCTTTGTCAACATTTACTCCAAACAACATAAATGATAGATAATGAATTAATGGACTGATACTTTCGTCTTGTTTTTCTGCCATAAACCATAATAAATCAGCCAGTTTTCTCCATACCTTCTCATGTTTGCTTGTTTCAAATATAAACCCTAAAAACTGAAAGTACTTTTCACAGGCGTAGTTTAAAAGGGGCAGGACTTACCTCTCGGTCTCCTCACTTCCTTGTTCCCGTGGCTCAAGCCGATTGCTCACGACGGTATTTTAAATGTCCCAGAGTTTTTACAGTTCACTGAAGCTGTTTGAAGCCAAAGTGGTGGATGAAAAACTTAAAGAATGAATGGATGGATGTGGTGTTTAAGTCTCTCTGGTCTCATCCCACGTCTGCATGCCTTGTTTCTCACGGTCTTCTGTGTCTCTAGTGACAGTCACTCCTGGCTATTTCTGCTGTCGAGGTATCTTCTCTGTCTACTGTCTGTCTTTCCATGTGCAGCTATTTTACTTTCTCTTCATCGGTTCATTTTTAACATGAGTTTTGACACATATGTTTTCAGGCTCTCTATGTTTAGGTGTCTGTGTTGTCCTGTGTCTGTCACTCACGCTTCTCTCACTGGATCTGGCCAACCCCTTGTTCCGTAAAATCACTTAAAGCAAATTATTTTGTGCTAAAAAGTTTGTATAAGTACATTTTCAGGACCTGAAATATCAGTCATAATGGGTTCTTTAGAAAGTCAATGTGTTGAATATGACAATTACAGTATTTACTTATTCTTATGGTGTTTATCTGGATAAAACTTCAGTTGACTTTCTACAGTTTTTCTGGGTTTTTTTCTGAGATAAACCTTGTGTTAGTGGTTGTGTGTAGCCATTTTTGGCTTGAAAACGAGTTTCCTATTTTCAAATGATTACATCTTTGAGTGTTCATGCAAGGCGGCCTAGGAATTTACAGAAACCAAAAGTTTTGCCAAGAAGAATATGCAGCTTTATATTAAAGGGGAAATAAAAGATTTTAATAACTGGTGGATGGATCATTTGAAAGCATTTACCTTTCATCTAGCTCCACACAACCGCTGACTATGAGAGATTTCTTTTGCATGACTGAGATTCATAACATCAGAAATATACCCAAAAAATCTAAACTTTCTAGAACAACTGTCTGGTGAACTATTGTAAAAATAGGTTAGAAGCATATTAGGGTAATATTTAATCTAGATTTGAGTAAAATAATAGGTTTAGCTTATGTAACAGACATTGCTTTATGTCAATTTAAAGGTGAGGTTTGACCAAACAACAAAACATACTGCTGCTATTGGCAAATCTTATTCAAACATGGTCAAAAAGTACTACATCTAGATTCACATTTTAGCTTATTTAAGACTCCTGCTTCTAGTGTATGGCTATGACTGCTTGAAGTGAAAATGTAGCATGACCACATTTTCACATCTAAAATCCTTCAGTGTTGAATAAACAGCTTATAATAAAGTAATAGTTTGAAATGGCACAGTTGGGTGCTGTGGACTTGGGCGTGGCCAGGCCGGCTCTCTCTCCTTAATGCTGTTTTGCTGGTGGGACATTATTACAGGCTCACGCTGGACTAACTACAGAGCGCACTCACATATTTATTAAAGTCCTCCCGTTTGATCGCTGCCGCTGCTAAAACCAGCCCCACTCAGATCCATGCATTCATTGAGTTTCCATGCCGTCACTCACCCTGGCTCCGCTGCTCTGTCCTCTGGGCTCGTGTTCCGTTTGACTGTGGCTGCGATGGCTGCAGGTTTGTGGTCGTCTGCTCCGGCTGCTCTCAAGTTTGTCTCCCGCTTTTGGCTTTAACAGGCATGACCCCACCACTAATGTAAGCGTATAGACACAGAGTAGCAGCGAAGACATGAGAGATGTGTAGAGAGGACACTTCAGGTACTTCAACAATTACATCATATAGATCATAGCAGTGTGTATTGGAAGCTGCAGCGTTGCTCCTAAACCGGTCTGACCACTCTGATCCCAGTCTACTACAACCAGGGCCATTTATCTGATTCAGGTGGTTTTGTTTTTTTGTTATTCTATAAGATTCTATAGTTATTTGTCCATGAGTTATTCAGCTAGATCTCATTGGCGTATTTAGAATCTTCAAATCTAGGATTAAAAAAACAACAACAAATCTCTCACTTTATAATCTATATTGAAATGTTTTGCCAAGACCAGGATTGCTTTGTGATCTGCACCACGTTGATTATGAGTTTGTTAGTCTGCTAGTTAGAAAGGATGTAGATGAAAGAAGTTTTTGGATTTATTTTTTTGACTCCATCAGGTTTAGTTTAGTTTGTCAAAATAGATGAAAAGGAATGAGTCACGTAAGCTAACGTTAAAGCTGTGAAACATCTCGTAATTAAATCCTGTTGAAACCGGTTAAAACAGTCGTCCATCTGGCTCATTACAATATGAAAACCTGTGGCTTATATTCAAGTGCAGGCTATATGTGGACAAAATGTACTTTCTTTTCAAATGCAGGTGCGGCTTATACACAGGTGCGCGTCATAGTCCAGAAAATATGGCTTTTTTTTATTTTTTATTATTCTTTAAGAGCGTAGTTATTCTTATTTTTGCTGCTACTGGACACCTGAATTTCTCCTACTGGGATCAATAAAGTATAATAACATATCTAGTTTATACTGATAAATACAGAACATTTAGAGAACAAGGAGTGATCAATAAATACCAAGTTACTTTCTAGAAAAAAGCTAATCAAAATGAGCAGTTATTATTGATAGTATAAATTTGGGTCTCCGGTATATGTTTAAGGACAGTCTTGACAGAGATGTGAAGCCACTGAGTTTGAAGTCTGTGCCTTGCCTCTCACTGTCAACAAACTCGATGAAAGCTCAGAGCGTTTTCATTGTTCTCCACGTCACTGGACTCACGCACGCTGCTCTGCTCCCCCCCCTCACCCGCCATCCTCCCCCCGTCTTCCTCCCCTCATCTTCATCTCTGTGCTCTCTTTCAGCTCGCGGACGCACAAACTTGGAGCTGAGGGAGAAGTTCATCCTCCCAGAAGGCACCGGGATGGCGGCCTTCAGGTCCAGAGGCCGCAGGTCCAAGCCGGGCTCCAGGAACGCCTCCCCCACTCGCTCCTCCTCCTCGGCCTCCCACAGCGGAGCCTCCGGACCCTCTGCCCCCTCCGCCCCGGCCACCCCCACCACCTCAGCCTCGTCCCGGGTAAGAAACCAGGACACAGGACGGAGGACCAGGGTTAAGGTTGCACTGGAGGGTTTGGGCTCACTTTGGATGTGGCAGTTTTAGGATTAGATTAGATTCAACTTTATTGTAAGTAAGTACTCTTTTTTTTATATAGTGCCTTTAACAGACCATGGCCACAACACTGCAAAAAGTGATGAAAAATAAGTGAAAAATTGGCTAAATGTCTCACAATTTGAGCACAATTTGAGACTGCCTTAAAACCAGATTTGCCAATGGGACAAGGTAAAATTATCTTGTTTTAAAAAAAATACAAGAAATGTCTGCCTTGGAATGAGAAAATAAAGCAACAGCTCTTGATATAAGACTAAATGTTGTTTTAAGACAGTCTGAATGTACTTAATTAAATAGAAACCACTTGATTTGAGCCTTTACAACCTCGTATTTCACAAAATGTTACTTGAACAAGACTATTTCAGGGACAAATGACATGTAATAATTATGAAAAAGTAGATTTAGGCTCCAAGGTTCATTCACATTTGGTTTAAGATATCTGTATTCTAATTATCTTATGATGACACACACTTAAAGAGATACAAGATATAAATATATTATCCTGGTTGTAGTAAAAAAAAAAAAATGAACACGAGCCAAACATGATAAAAACAGACACAAACCTCTGGAAATATATTTTTTCCTTCACCCACATCTTGGTCATTACCCATTCACGTCTCGATGTTAACTGTGCATCTGTTTGTCTTTTGAGTTATGTCTCAGTCGCCCACATCCTTTAACAATTTTGTTTTGTGTCTTTTCTGTCGACCTTTTGTTCATTCCACTACTACACCCCTCCTCCTCCTCCTGCCCCTCCCGCTTAATCCTCCCCTTTAAATCCGGTGGTTGGGGTTTTTACACTCAAACTGACAATGCCACACCTCCCTTTGGAAACTCGCCTCCTGGTTTCCTTCCCTGACCTCCTCGATGGCTCGCTTCCTTGCCTCCTTGCTTCCTTGCCTCCTTGCTTCCTTGCTTCCTTCCCTTGCTCCTGTAGTCGTCCCACACTCGCGACTATGCCAAACCGTGGCTGGCTCACAGTAAAACCCCGTCATCGACCAAGTGCCACTGCTGCCCCGATGGCCACGAGGTAACACACTCCTGCTAACACTGAGACCCCAAATCAATCTAACCGTCTGTTCCCCGTCCCGCCAACACCGCCCCGCTAAAGGCTACCGCACTAACGAGAAGCTAACGGGTTTTAGTAGATTTGATTCTTCTGTACCAGGCATTTGTAAGAGAGCAATGTTATTAGCTTGATGTGGCATTATTTAGCACTAAAATGTCGCACTAAAAATCTTAATATAGATATTTTTCGGCTTCTTTATCGTAAAATATAAAAGATCTTTGAAAACATGTGACCTAAGATCTAATGTTCATAATGGCCGAAGCAATAAACTACTACTGAACAACTAAATGTTTTTCTGGTCTTACCTCTTCTTCAGAAAGGGTTTTATATTCAATTCAACTTTATTACAAACTCTTGGTCCAGTTTAAAACATGCAGACAGACGAGACAAAAAAAATTAACACCAACAAGTTATTCGAATTAATGTTTTTGTGTATAGGCCTAAATCACAACAGCAGTTGTCTTGGAGGACTGTACAAAGTTGTGGAGAAGATTATAGAACGGTTTTAACACAAGAAATGCAATAATCTCAAACACATACGAGTCATTTGTCCAGAGGGAGCAGGATGACCAGAAATGTTAATAAATGTTAATAAATGTTAATAAATGTCTCGGATCATCACTGTCCTTAGACCCTCGTGCATCAGCAAGGAAAAACCAAATATAAAATCAGTGGTATAAAGGGAGGAACCTCGGTGAGACCCTTGGGCCCAGGGTATTATGCGGGACTACCGTACATGTTTTTAGTGGTAGGTTTTCTCCAGGTGCTCCGGCTTTCACTGGAGAAAAGACAACAAATAATGTGAGAAATCCGACTGAATGTTTTCAAATAAAGGCTTGTCACAGCCAGTGACAAGCCTTTATTGTTAATCTAATAATAACTAATAATAGAATAAGAGAGGATTAACATTATGGAATTGATGCCAATATATCTTGGAAAAAAACAAAAATAACAGGAGGAATCAAGTCATTCCATGTTACCGCATGTTTGTGTCGTCTGTTCATATTGTTGTGCGTCCGACATTTCACAGTTGTCATGTTGTTGTCTGTAGGACTTGTTTTGTGTGCTCTTGTATCCTCATGTTGTGTGCTCCTGTAGGGGGCGCCATCGGGCTCAAAGTTGAAGCGGCCGACGTTCCACTCGAGTCGAGGATCTCTGACCGGAGAGAACGGAGGAACCACACACAGCGGAAAGACCACACGGAGCGGTGAGACACACAATGAGACACACACACATACAGCGGAAAGACCACACGGAGCGGTGAGACACACAATGATACACAGACACACACACACACTATTGAAGACACACACAGCAAAAAGACCACACGAAGCACACACCATAGACCATAGTGTGCCATAGACACAGACACACACAAAAACAAATAAAATTGCATTGCCAACTAAATACATTTAGAAAACAAAGAGGAGGCTCTGACTTAAGAATGAAAATCTGCTTTAAATAAATAGATTAGTCTACTTCACGACTCCCACTGATGTCTGCTGTCGGTGTGTCCTTGGGCAAGACACTTAACCCCACTTTGCCTGAAGCTCCCACTGAAAGATCAAGGCTCCTGTGGACTCAGCACCTGCAGGAGGATCAGTGAGGGGCTGGTGCTCTGTGAACTGGGGGCAGCTCAGAAATGGATTAAGGGGAAGAAAATGGATGGATGGACATTGTTGCACATTGTAAAACATGGATCACCAAAGTAAATATTCCTAACAACAAGTTTAAAGCTGAGGTTCCTAATTTTCAAGCACATTTGATGGATCTATCTTTTCAAATCCATCTAACTAGTTCCTTGCTCTCAAAACAGTGTGGTTTTAACATGCACTTATTTTTTATATCAATCAATCAAGGTGATCATTTAAACCAAATTCAACTTCTCCCCCTGGTGGTGGCACAGGGAGATGCATTACAATTAACGTATTCTTGAGTATTAAAGAAGCTAAACCCGATTTTTTTTTTTTCTAAAATGCTTATTACTAAATACAAGTTGTATTATAATCCGTAATTTAATTGAAAACTTGAGGTAATTGATTCCACTGTGTAAGAATACAATCAGTGAAAAGTGCTGAGTAGAGTCTTAGCGGGACGCTCACAGAACGAGCAGCGAGCAGCCTGCGTCCTCTACAGCGCTGCTTAACACCAGGGCTTCGACTTCAAAATTCGAATATGATTCTAAAATTAAAAATATATATATATTCGAACAAATATTAGACAACCCTTATAATTCGAAATGTATTTAATGACTGCAAATAAAATAGTTAGCTCCCAAAGGTTCCACTGGGACGTGCAAGGCAGGTAACAGCTAAGATAGCTAGCTCCCTGGAACTACATGTTAATGGTTACTTCCGGGTTTTTTGTGATCACTTTTGGTGACATTAAAATAGTAATTTTGTCATGAAAACGATAACAACAAATTCTGAAAAAGTCTGTGCATGTGTGTTAAGGATGTATATGTATACTGTATTGTCCGATTAACATTTAATGGTGTTGATTGATAGATATGTATTTGTTTATTGAGCGTGGCTAGCTCAGCTAGGTCCACTAGCATCTCTCGTTGCACTTGCAGAGTAATGGCAATATTTAACACTCCTGAATTACAAACAGAGATTGCGTTGCCAAAGGGCAGCGGTCATTATTGGTTTGAGAGTTCTGTTATCAAGAAAAAATGATCGGTAGAATTACATTCAAGTCAATGGAGTGTTCTACTGCTGCTGTGAGGAGCTCTATGATAAATTATAATTAAATATCCGAATATATTCTAATGTTTAATGAATACATTCAGATGCGAAACTAGCGGTATTTTTTACTTATATATTGTGTTAACAGTGTTGCTTTAGTGCCATTTAATCAGTGATTGTTGTACAGCTTACAAGAGCTAGATGGCTCTGTGTTGTGAGAGCGTAGAGGAAATGAGAAGCCATTGAGCGAGTTGGGGGCGGTACTAAACATTCAAACCTCGCAGAAACGGGTATAGCACCTTTTAAGGGACTGGCCTCCTGCTGGGACTCTGAGGAGCACAGGGACTGGCCTCCTGCTGGGACTCTGAGGAGCACAGGGACTGGCCTCCTGCTGGGACTCTGAGGAGCACAGGGACTGGCCTCCTGCTGGGACTCTGAGGAGCACAGGGACTGGCCTCCTGCTGGGACTCTGAGGAGCACAGGGACAGGCCCCCTGCTGAGGCGTTAAATCAGATTTTTATACAAGTCAGATTTCTCAAACAGGATGAATGAAGGATCTTGATGATATTTGGTGTCTCTCTCATGGTTGAATTAAACACTCTCTTCCTCCTGTCGTTCCCTCAGATCCAAAGCGCGGCGGCTGCACTTCTACGAGCCGAGCAGGAAGTCGAGCCGGGAGCCGGGCGAGCAGCCGACGAGGCAGCGACGCCTCGGACGCCTCAGAGCTCCAGGACTCCCGCTCCGTGTGCTCCGACACCTCCGACACCCCACGGCGGCCAGGAGGGGGCGCCAAACCATCCAAGATCCCTACCATCTCCAAAAAGACGCCCAGCCCCAAGACCACCAGCGCCGCCAAGAAATGATGTTAGCACCGCGGGGGGAAGAGAAGCAGTGTAGAGGCTGCAGCCCTGTTCACATCAAAGTGCTGGGAAAGTGCTGGAACATTCTCTGGAACGCTCTGTCTCTCTGCATTCTAGCACCTTTCAGAAATACATAGGTGTGTTGTTTAGATCAGGTGTGTCCAAAAAGGTCCCCATCAAAGGCCACAAACTGAAATATAAGTAGAAGACTAAAGAGAAACTTTAAAAATCTATCAAAACTAAATGTGAAATGTTCATTAAATCCTCTTGAGAAGGTAAGTTAATACGGCAAAGAGTGTAAAGAAGCTATTGCTACTTACTTCCTACTTATTTACTGCTTAATTGATGAAGCAGAACTAGCTTATTTTGCGCTCATTGACGTATTAGAAGAACCTTCCAAGCCTTATTCTATCAAAACTGCTGTCATTTCTATCATATGATCAATTTAAAACCAATTTGCCAGAGACTAAAGATCTATATTCAGTCTTGGAAGATAGAAAAGCACTTATCATAACAGTTTGTGGCTTGAGGACCGAGACAAATTACTCTGAAGACCGCAGTTTTCCCTGGGGCCACAGTTTGGACAAGCCTGGTTTAGACTCTATGACAAATGAAATGGTCATAATGGAAAAAAGCAGGGATTCAGTTGTGCTTGTTTGAGGGGAATATTCTTTGGAAACTCCCTGGAGAGCTGACGGTGAGAATGAATGAGACACGTCTTATCTGCCTGTTATTGACTTTCCCCAAATTAAAACCATGCACAAGAACTTAGAGAACCCTGGTCCAAAACTGACTTTCTCTTGAATCCAGGACCAGGTCTTCTCTCTGAATTGACTTGACGCTGCCTTACTCAGTCGGACGGCCCCTGGTATGGGAGGGGGAACCACAAGAGAACTTTTTTTTTTAATTTTCTCTCTCCGGAAGACATTTTTTGGTTTTCCCGAGCCCAGATGCCTCGAGGATGAGCTATAAAAACACGTCGAAAATATGCAACAACTGCCATGCCACTTCCTCCACACCGAAACCCGTCAGCAGAGCTAAAGCTGCGTCCTGTGTTTTCCACCAGTCCCTTTCAGCGGTTGTGGCGATAAAGTATTTTGCTAAAGAGAAAAACTCGGATTTGCATTTCAACGCGAGGCAAACGCAAAACACATCAAAACCAGAGACATAAAAGGACAATTTTTATTCTAACAGCACATTGTAACCGTTTAACCCAGACCAGCATGCACTAACCTCCTCCACCTTCGGCCTCTCGACGTCGGAGAAATCGACAAACGTTACAAGAAGCTATAAAGGTCACTGTATGCAAACGTTTTAATTTGCGAATGTCATTATTTTGTGGTTAACTTATCGGATTTTTTTTGTCTAGCTTAAATAATAAAGAGTATTTATTTCGACATCATATCATCGGCAGAATGAGTATTACTGGTTCAAGACTTTTGTACCAAGACAATTGTGTGCGTTTTGTGTGTCATCGTCTCTAACCATCGTGTAATTTTCTTTTGTTTTTTGCTAATATTTCTCGGTTTCCAAATCATGACCAAAGGGGACTGACTTGCCCTTGAATCTGTAGACAAGAAACTAGGCTTTTTTCAATTGCCCTGTTATTTTGGGGCCAGAGATGTGTCTTCTATCTCAACGCACGAGATGAGGAAAAGAAGAGAGACCGACTTAAGTGACTTTTATTTATTTATTGTCTGGAGGTGGATTTTTGGCCAGAGGAGCCTCCACCTTTTGATGCTGTGCTTATCTCAGTGTGAAGACAAGGGGAGGGGGGGACTCAATTGTGTAAAAGTAAAAAGAACTAAAATTATAAACATTTTTGTTCTGTTTTTGTATTAAAAATTGCTTGCAGTAAACGTGGCTTATGCTTCTTTAATATACAATCAACCCCTCCTACCACCAACCATTCACACACACCAGACTCATTCTAGACAATGTGGGTGAAGTGTCTTGCCTAAAGGACACAACAACAGTTTGGCACCTTACAGCCACAGCCGCCCCACTGGCACCTGGTGTTCCCAGAGGTCTCCTTTAACAGTTAGCTGCAAGACTCATTCACCTTCATCCATTCTGACAATAAACCAGTGTCCTGTAGCTACTGAAACTTGGAGTAAAAAAGTCCATAAACTCTGCTCTGACAACTGCCTGAATCTACCACAATAAAAACACACATATTAGCCGCATCACTATATAAGCCTCAGGGGTCAGAGAATCAGAAAAAGATAGTAGCTGACAGTCCAGAAATTACATTAGTCCACAAACCAGATGATTCAAGTCATTCATGAAAGCTGGGGTACCTGAATGTTAAAAAGCACAAGACATGACACTAGAGCCCCGTTTCCACCAGGCCCACTTTGCACTACTCTACTCTTGGGTTTCCACCGGCCAAATCTAGCTGGTATTAGGTACTTGTTTAGTACCTGTTTATTCCAGAAGACATCAACATTAAATCTCTGGTGTGTCTCCCTGTGATGAGTTTCACCTGGAAGCTTTTAAAGGCTCCAACCACAAAGATCTGGCCAAGGACCAACAAGACCACAAAATGGCCGACGGGGGCAAGTAAAACAAATCAAACCAAAAGCAACAGTTGGGTATTGAATGGACACATGTGAAAATAGTGACATGAAAAGCCGACAAAGTGAGGATTGAAAATAGACCAAAAGAACAGCGATCTCACGCACCTGAAAACTGGAAGGTTATTTTCCAGTTCTTTCCATGGATCTGTTCTTTCAGACAGAACAAGATAAGACAAAAACTTTCTGTTAACTGACCTTGAGTGTATAGAAAGGCGCCTAGCGTACATCGACAAAGTAACTGGAGACAACTAGTTGCAAGGCGGCTTTTGGCAACTGAGAGTAGATGATGGAGATGATCAGTTGCCGAACTCGGTCGATGTGCGCGCTCTTACTGTACAACTGGAGATGAACAGTCTATCTCCGGATTCAGTCAGTTGCCCGTGTTCTACTTTTCGGCAACTAGTTGTCCTCAGATCCGGAGATATCACCCGATGTGCGCGCTCCAACAACATGTGTGTATTGTGTGTATTGCGCCCTCTACAGTTTATCCCAGAAAACACACTGTAGTTGAGGCCAGTTGCTGTCGATGTACGCGCTGTTATTCCCCAGACTGGCCTGCTACTGGAGTTGCCCGTTTTCGCCAGATTGTCGATGTGTGCGGGGCAGCAACTCATACATGTATGCGACGGATATAATCAGTTGCCAGTCCGATGTACGCTAGGCATAAGAAATAAAAAGTATTGTCAGATTCCACATAACCCAGTTGGTCACACTAACAGAGATTGGAGAATGCTGCTGGAAGCCACGGTCACCCAGGATTTTCCCCGAGTGTAGGTTTGCTGTGGGTAGATTGCTAGGACACGGTACCAGATACAAAAGAGTAAAGGTAACACAACTACATCTACAGCTGTCATGCGTAGTTCAAAGGTGGACCTCGCTTTGAAACAGCAAAATGTTCTCAATGTAATAAAAACCCCGCTTTTAAAACTGTTGTCAAAGATGAAGTTTGTAATAAGTTGAAGAGTGTTGAGAAATGCAGACCGAGGCAGCGGTGACGAGGCGACTGTAAACCGGTTTATTTTTGAGGTTTTTTATATGATTTTTATCAACGTGCATAAGAAACGATTCTAATATAGAGATTATTTAGCAATGTGGAAACAAGGACGCCCAGTCCTTCAGATAATAATGTTTAGCAGCAATAAGATAAGAGTTCCTTTATTCGTCCCACAGCGGGGACAACACACAGAGCAAACAAAACATACAAAATAAGTAGATATGTTTTTTAACTTGCTGTAGATGCTGTAAATGCTTCAATACCAGTCAAAAATACATATATGTGTAGTAGTGAGGAGTTATATACTGTACATAAAAGAGCAGGAGTTATATACTGTACATATAGGACAGGAGTTATATACTGTACATATAGGACAGGAGTTATATACTGTACATATAGAACAGGAGTTATATACTGTACATATAGAACAGGAGTCATATACTGTACATATAGAGCAGATAAGTAGATAAAGGAAAGTGACATTGTTCAGTGACATTCTGAAGTTGCAGTATTGCACATTGCACATGATTTAAGTATACAGTACAGTACAGATGTAACAGATTTCCACAGTACATAATACGCAAGTTAGATTCTACAAAACTCGTTCTATGGATACAAAAACATACATTTATGAACCCAGAAACAGTTCCTCCAGCTACGGGCAACATTGGTTTTCACAGGTTTTACTTTTCGTCCCAGCGTTCAGAGCCTGTTGGTAATCGACTATTTCGAGCTGGAGCTTTTCCCTTATTTACTTTGCCAGGGTAAACACGAAGTGAGCTGTTTACATTCTCAGATAAACTACAGATTGGAGACCGGACGTGTGTGACAGACGATCCTGAGGAGATACACACAGAAGCTCTTCACAAACTCTCACTGACGCACAACAACAACAACACAACTAAACATACATTGTATTAAAGTGGAACTCATTTGACCTCATCCAGACCAGACTCCTGACCCACAACTACAGGGCGTTTTGTATGAACACCTGGGCTGTGGAGTAAATATTCAATTCCTCCAAGGTTCCAAAAGGTTCCAAAAGAACTCAACACCTCCACGGCTTCGAAAGAGCTCAACGCCTCCACCCCCAGCATCATCAGCAGCTGCCACATCTTCATCAGCGCCATCAGCATATACAGCACCACCAGCAGCAGTGGATACAGCCGCAGCAGTGGCTGCTCCATCATCTTCAGCAGCAGCAGTGGCTGCTCCATCATCTTCAGCAGCAGCAGTGGATACAGCAGCAGCAGTGGCTGCTCCATCATCTTCAGCAGCAGCAGTGGATACAGCCGCAGCAGTGGCTGCTCCATCATCTTCAGCAGCAGCAGTGGCTGCTCCATCATCTTCAGCAGCAGCAGTGGATACAGCAGCAGCAGTGGCTGCTCCATCATCTTCAGCAGCACCTTCCCCACCTACAGCTCCCGTGAAGCTTCCCCCATTACTCCAGGCTACAGTCAGGCCTGTACTGGGGGTTCCTCAACCACCTCTGTCTCCACCAAAGACTCCCTCATCACCTTCCATGGACCCGGCTTGGGTCCCCCCCGCTACATCCACTCCATCTAGGGAAAATGAGGACGACCTTTCCCTTTGTTTTCTATCCCCGCCTTCACTACTGGATTTACCGGAACACTCTGCAGGCATGATAAGATCGGCGATGAAGACTATTCCTCTCACACCCACTGTAGCCAGATCAAGAGTCCTATCTAACATTCAAAACTACTCCCCATACGTACCTCCAAAGCCACCTAGAGGGTCCAACTCAAATTCTCCCACAAAATCCACCCGTCCCTCCTCTAACCCCATAAGTATTCCACCCCCCCCCCTCCTGCTCATTTAGCCCACCTCCCCCCCCCTAACTCAGCACCAAGAAACCCTCCACCTCCACTCCCCCCTCGTCCACCACCCAACTCAGCCTGCCCCTCCCCTAACCCATCACCAAAAACCCATCCACCTTCAACCCCCCCCCCGTCCAACTCCCAAGAACCACCCGCCTCTCCATCCTCTTCCCCCACCTTCCCCTTCCCCTCTTTTCTCTAAACACTAGGATGCACAGGGTCTCTGCTTCGCAGCCACTGGCAGTCTAGTTAGAGGAGAGACCCGGCTGGGGCCCTGTCGTGAAGCCACCTGTGCCATTCCCTTAGTGATAACACAAAGAATACATAACAGAAAAACATCTGGAGTTAATCAGTCTAATCAGGAAAATCTAATTCTTGTTCCGTGTAAGAATCAGCCGACCACAACCGCTGATCCTGAAACTTTGAAACTTGCTATGCTAAATGTCAGATCTCTTTGTAACAAGTCTTTTTTAATCAATAATTTTATTTGTTCTTATAATCTAGATCTTATGTTCATGGCTGAAACATGGCTTGACCAAAATACAGAAAATGCAGTTTTAATAGAAGCATCACCACCAAATTTCAAATTTGAATCTGAAATACGGGAAAACAAATAAGGAGGAGGCTTAGCTGCCATTTTCAGAGACCACTTTGTCTCCCATAGAATGTCTCTTGGGAAGTTTCCGTCTTTTGAATATGTGTCTTTTAAAATACAACAAAAACAATCTCCTCCAATACTTTTCGTTGTCCTATACAAGCCACCGCAGTCATGTCACAGTTTTATTGATAATTTTACAAGTTGCTTTCAGTTGTATGCACAGATTTTGATAGTTTAGTTATTACAGGTGATTTTAATATTCATGTGGATAATGTTGATGACAGAAATGCTAAAGAGCTGAGTTCTCTTCTTGAATCTTTTGGTCTCACTCAGCATGTGAGTGGCCCCACCCACAGCAAAGGGCACACTCTAGACCTGTTAGTTACAAAGGGGGCGAACATTTATAATGTAAACGTGGTCGATGTTGCGCTTTCGGATCATTTTTGTATATTTTTTGACATGTGTTTCACTAACAAACCACCAGTGGACTCTGCAACTGTACGAAGAAGACACATAAATGAAAATACGGGTGAACTATTTATGGGAATGATAAACTTTGAGAATGCATCGTATTCTACTGTAGATGAACTGTTTAACTCTGTCACCTCTAGTGTTTTGAAAGTTCTGGACACCATCGCTCCTGTGAAGGTTAAAATAGTGAAAAATAAGCAGAAGGCGCCGTGGGCTAAAGCAGACTCGGTCAGAGCACAAAAGAGAGAGTGCCGGAGGGTCAAGCGGAAGTGGCGCAAGTCCAACCTCCAGGTTGATTACAAGATCTTCAAAGATAAGTTGTGCGAGTTTAACCAGGTGCTACGTAGTACAAGAGAAAGGTATTTTTCTGAAATGATTGAAGGCTGCAGCAACAATCTGCGTGTTCTGTTTTCAACAGTTAATAGATTAACAAACCCCCCTGTTCAAATGCCATTAGAGCTAACTTCCAAACGTAAATGTAATGAGTTTGCACATTTTTTCAATGACAAGGTTCAAGGCATCAAAAACGCCATTGTCTCCAATCCACAGATAACCATCCAACAGCCAGAAAGGCTCTTTGAGCTAACTTACTTTGCACCTGTAAATGATCAAACTGTCCAAGAGATAATCTCCAGTTTGAGCTCCTCCACATGCAGCCTGGATGTACTACCCACTAGATTTCTAAAGTCTGTTCTGAGCAGTCTGTTACCTTCACTCACACAGATAGTAAACATGTCCCTTGATTCTGGAATATTCCCAAAGGCCCTGAAAACTGCAGTCATCAGGCCCCTGCTAAAAAAGAGCAGTCTGGATGCTACGGTACTTAACAACTATCGTCCCATCTCAAATCTGCCATTTATGGGGAAAGTCCTTGAGAAAGTTGTCTACCTACAGCTTACTAGATTTCTTATAATCAACAACTCATTTGATATGTTTCAGTCCGGCTTTAGACCCCACCACAGCACTGAGACTGCTCTCGTTAAGGTTACAAACGATATCCGGCTGAACACTGACGCAGGCAAAGTCTCAATCCTAATCCTGTTAGATCTAAGTGCTGCCTTTGATACTGTCGACCATGAGATCCTCTTACAGAGACTAGAGGACTGGGTTGGCGTCGCTGGCACCGCCCTAAGTTGGTTTAGGTCTTACCTTGAAGACAGGAAGTACTTTGTGGAGATTGGAGACTGTGTCTCAGATCATATGGCCCTGACCTGTGGAGTACCACAGGGGTCGATCCTGGGACCTCTTCTGTTCAATCTCTACATGCTGCCGTTAGGTCAGTTAATACGCAGAAACAAAGTTTCCTATCATAACTATGCAGACGACACTCAGATCTATGTCTCACTGACTGCAGGAGAACATGGACCAGTGGACTCACTCCTTCACTGTATCCAACAGATCAGTGAGTGGATGCAAAACAACTTCCTTCAGCTAAACGCAGACAAAACTGAAATGATTGTCTTTGGTCCCCAGAAACAAAGAGAGAGCGTCATCTGTCACCTACAGTCTCTCTTCCTAAAACCTTCAAACAAGGTCAGAAATCTAGGGGTAATACTGGACTCAGACTTAAATTTTAATAGCCACATCAAATCAGTAACATCAGCAGCTTTTTACCATCTAAAAAACATTGCCAGGATCAAAAACATAGTGTCTAAAGCAGACTTGGAGATTCTTATCCATGCATTTGTCTCCAGTAGGTTAGACTACTGCAATGGCCTGCTCACAGGTCTGTCAAAACAGGCTGTAAAACAGCTGCAGTACATTCAAAATGCAGCAGCTCGAGTCCTGACTAGAACCAGGAAGTATGACCACATTAGTCCAGTCCTCAGGTCCCTGCACTGGCTTCCTGTGGCTCAGAGAATAGACTTTAAAACAGCTCTGCTTGTGTACAAGTCTCTCCATGGCCTCGCACCAAAATATATTAGTGACATGTTAGTCCCATATGAACCAGCCCGGACTCTGAGGAGCACAGGGACTGGACTCCTGTTAGTGCCCAGAGTCAGAACTAAACATGGGGAGGCTGCTTTTCAGATTCATGCTGCTAAAATCTGGAACAATCTTCCTGAAGATGTGAGACAGGCCTCCTCTCTGACAATGTTTAAAACCAGGTTAAAAACGGTGCTGTTTAGCTGTGCATACAACTGAGGGATTTTATATTTTTATCTTTCGTTTTAATGTTCTGTAATTATTTATGATTTTAATGCTATCTTGTTCAGCACTTTGAGTTGCCTTGTGTATGAATTGTGCTATACAAATAAACTTGCCTTGCCTTGCCTTGCCTTCAATTCCATGTATGTTTGTACAGCCCTGTAGATCCAGGACTGAGGCTGTAGATCCAGGACTGAGGCTGTAGACCCAGGACTGAGGCTGTAGATCCAGGACTGAGGCTGTAGATCCAGGACTGAGATCTGTAGATCCACGACTAAGGCTGTGATCCAGGACTGAGGCTGTAGATCCAGGACTGAGATCTGTAGATCCACGACTAAGGCTGTGATCCAGGACTGAGGCTGTAGATCCAGGACTGAGGCTGTAGATCCAGGACTGAGGCTGTAGATCAAGGACTGAGGCTGTAGATCCAGGACTGAGGCCCATCATCACAACAGACAACTGGAATGCGTTACGTTCCTGAGACAAATTCAAAGCCATTTGGATGATAGTAAAACATTGAATTTTTCACGATATTCTATTTCTGAGAGTCTCTGCACAAGATAATCTAATCTGCTGAAATCTAAGCAGATTAGATTTCAGTGTGGTACACTCAAAGATGTGTGGCAACATTGGTCTTTCATTATTACAGCAGTGGTATATTTTGTTTAAATGTCAATTTGTGCAATTATATGTTTGTAATTTAGAGAATAGGTCTAATTTAGTACAACAAGTCTTGTGTAAATAATGTCATGTCATGTCATTTTATACCCTTTTATTATTCCATTTCTGGGTGGGGGAGGGGGGCGATCAGAGCTGCCACCCAAGTCTCAATGCACCTAATATTATTGTTTAAATAAAATTAATATTTCATATTTACAGTCTATGGTTTAGATATTGGTGAGAACAGACAAGTAAAGGATGGAACTGTTCTGCTTCTCTGATGTAGTAGTGGGACCACTTTGACCGTGACCAGTGTTGCCAACTTAGCGACTTTGTCGCTAGATTTAGCGACTTTTCAGACCCCTATAGCGACTTTTTTTTCAAAAAAGCGACTAGCGACAAATCTAGCGACTTTTTCTGGTGTTATTGGCGACTTATCTGGTGTTTTGGCGACTTATCTGGTGTTTTGGAGACTCGTGAAGCACGTATTGTTCTGCTGTCCTCAACGTGAGCCCCTCCCCCGTCCCAAAGCACTTACAGGCGGCCAGTCTCACAGTAGCCTTGCGCAGCAGTCCCAGCTACAGTCTATGGGCGGAGCAGAGAGAGAGAGAGGAGACTCAAAAGCACAGGAAGTTTTCAGGCTGCTGCAGACTGAACTTCAGCTCCACCACCACCACACATCCAAAGCTCCCCGGCCACTCCTACCACCGCCACCCCCCACTACCCCCCACTCCATCCGCCGCAGCTCTGTCCGTGACTCTGTTTTCTCTCAGTAGTGGGTCACATTAAATCATTTGTTATGCCAAACTATGAAAAAAAAAAAAAACTTACAAAAATAAACCAAAGTAACT